TTTAGTTCTTCTGTTTTCAGAAAAAAACATAAACAATGCCCTCTACCCTGTATGCAAAAGGGGAAGACCATTCCCATAGGTAGAACTGAATACCAATGTTATGAGCTTAGAAACTCGACATTTAATCCTTATTTCCTATCCTCTCCCTGTCTTTTTCCTTTGTGTCTTTCTTTAGTTAGACAGTAATTTCTTCAGCATAGTTTGCTGTGCATAACTTCTCATCTGCTTTGTACTGTTCCAAACACAGAGATTGATAAGTAGCTCAGAAATAAGCTGCAATATTAGTAATGGCCGAGAATTATGGGTGTATATTAAGAATGAGTGCCAACCTGCTCTCGCACACTCTCATTCCAGAGAACAGTTCAGTCATGTCATACATAGTGTCAATTCTCCTTTTAGAGAATTTTTTTTATCAGTGGCAGAAAGCTATTTACACTCTTCAAAATTACATTTAACAGTGTGGGCCCAAAACATATAATTCATTTTAAAATTGTAACTGCTGACAGTTTATATATTTCTCAAAACAGGGCTTTTCCTTCAGCCTGTCTCTACATTTGCTTCCTGTCTTTGATATAAAAACATTTTAAAATCCACAATAGAAAAGAAAATAATTAAAACCAAGATTGGGGAAAAGTAAAATCGAAAATAAACATGGAATATAACAGGGAGTTGATGCCCTGTTGGATTTAGCAGCATAAAACAACAACAAACCAAGAAGTTGTCAACTCAGAAGCATTATTAATACAATCCTATGTATATGCAATAGATGTAAACAGAGAGAAGTTGAATTCACGGCAGCAAATCCCACATATGAATATAGAAGGAGCTCTGCTGGATCAGGCCATTAGCCCGTGTATTCCAGTATCTTGTTCTCTCAGTGGCTAAGCTGATGTCTATCGGAACCCTAAAAGCAAGACCTGAGTTAGGGATGCAATCTGTCCCTAGAAAAAGGTGGTCATCCTTTTTTCGGAGAAAAGTGTTCCCTGTCCCATTTGGATGGCTTTTTTCATATTCGAGCTCATCTTCATCCTCATTTTCAAAACTGTGTGGGCAGAGGGTGGATCTATGAGGAGGAGAGCTAAGAGTGATGCAGGCAGAGGGTGGGGTGGGGCCAGGAGGAGGAGTTTGAGAGAGAGAGTTTTTGCATGGGCAGAGGGTGGGTAGTGGAGGGTGAGAGAGGGGTTTGCAGGGGCTTGGTCCAGTGAGGGAGAGAGAGTTTTTGCATGGGCAGAGGGTGTGGGGTTGATTGGATTTGGAGAGCAAGAGAGGGGGTTGCACAGCCCTGGTGGAGAGTGGGGGCAAAGAGTTTTTGCATGGGCAAAAGAGGAGGAGGAGGAGGAGGAGGAGGAGGAGGAGGAGGAGGAGGAGAAAGAAGAAGAAGAAGAAGAAGAAGAAGAAGAAGAGAGCATATTGTTAATAGTGCAAAAGTAGTAACCATTTCAAATTACTCATCTTACTTTTATCCACATACCAAGTTTCAACCCCACCCCTAAACACCACAAAGTTGGCAACCAAAATGTTGTCAATGTACTTTGTCTGCATTTTTCCCTACAGTGTGTGATTATCCTTCTGAAGTACAAATTAAGATTTGTGGAATGTACTGGTTCAAGGATATGTATGTTCCTAGACTGAAATTTGCTAAGGTAATACATATACAGGAGCATGGGAAGATTTGTGAGGGAAAATCAGTTCTTGACAAGTTCCCTTTCCCCCTTGACTTAGGTTTAAAAGTTGAGCACAGGGCTAGGAACCCTACGTTTGCCTCATGATGCGTAGCTTCATCTTCTGTCTCAGCAAACACAGCAGGAGAACCAAACCTCACATATATACCACCACACAGGTTTCTCTGTATGTAAGAAATCCAGAGATGCCTCAAATAAGGGAATTTGAGAGGAGTTACAACTAATGAAGTGTTGCAGCGTAATAACAAAGTACAAATGTAAACAGTAAACAATATTAAACATACAAAGCTTGCAACATTTGTGGGTTTTTGGTTTAGAAAATAGATACAGACTCTCCGTTTTATGTTACAATTGTGCATTCACGTTGAATGTTTCTGCTTTGGGCATTAACAAGTGCAAGGTTTTGTTCTGTAGGATTCAAAATGTGTTAACAGGAAGGAATTTGACAGCTTTATCTAAGGTTGTAGAGTTTCACAGAATTCCCACTACCTGCAAGCTACATGGAAGCAGTGGCAACGTTCCATGCCCGTCTGTGATCTCAGCTCATGCTGTGTCCTCTAGCTGCTCCCAGCTGTCCATACTGCAGATAGCTGAATGACTAGCATTGGATAGACTGTCTGACCAGGTACTTGATTTTTCAAGACCCTTCCAGTTTAGCATACAGATGATCAATAGGAAGCTTTAATCAATGGCTGTGCACAAGTTATTGTGCTGAGGGCGGAGCAATATAATGCCAACATCACTGCTTAGAAACACAAAAGGACCAAGGGTGCAACTTCAAACTCTTGAAATATCAAACTTGTTTCGGCTGCTATAAATAAGGTCAATGTACTGTGGGCACTCACAATCAGGATATTAAAGAAAAGAAGCAAAGCCAATGTTCAAAATGGAGAGATTTATTGGAAAATCTAGTATGCCCAGCACCTTTTGGCAGCTCACCTTCTTGAGGGCAAAAGGTGTTCTACTTCATATGGAAGTTCACTCAAAGCATGTTGTTTCTAACATACCATCTGTAATAGCTCAGAAAAGAATCCCACAGTAGATATATTTAGAGCATTAAAAAGATAAAACTGGAATTTGCAGCTGTGAGACTCAGACTGAGCAGGGAGAGGGAGGACAGATGGATTCAAACCCAAAAATTTGATAGATGGATGTTCTTATTTAGAAAACTGCAAAATAACTAAATATCCAAACATCCGCAGTTGAAGTCCATCTGCCCATTCATCTTCTTGAAGTTTACAAGGTACCCGAATACAGCAGCCCCCCCTTCAAACTCTTGTCTTAGACATTTCTTCTGCATTCATGGAATGGAGGCACTTTTCACTGATATTCACAAAACTTGTTTCTTTGTGGAATGTTCCTAATGAATGTGCTATTGCTGCATCTGAGACTTCTTTTAATCTCCCCTTCTTTTGACACCAACATTGCACTATGGGGACATCTGTTCTAGTGGAGACATTTATTATCTTTTGCACATTACAGATTTGCAAGCAATCTGTTTCTCTCTCACACTCTTATCTATACATGCATCCACTCACTGAATCCCTGTCTGTTCACCTGCTAACCTCACTGCTAATAATTCTCTCACTCAAGTCCATCATTGGTCATGTTCCTTTCTCTCTTATCACGTCTCCCTTTTGGCTTTTCCACACCAATAATCACCTTCAGAGACCTCATCATTTCCAAACTGTTTCCTTTTTATCATTTGCTCCCCATCTGTTACCATCCTTTTTTGTTGTTCTCTAGTCACACGTTTTTGCTTCCCTGACATTTTCCCTACCCTAAAGAAATGTTTCTTATATAATATGGCATTTCATCCTTGTGGCTCACGTCACCTTTCCACTAATTACTGAAATGTGGGAATGATTCAAGGTTAAACCTCCAAACTTGTACACACTTCCTTGGGAGCAAGTCTCATCAAACTCAATGGGATTTACTTCTGAGTAAATATAAATAGGATTTGTACTTTCTGCTTTCATTTTTCAGTTCATCTCAACACTACCGCAATTGTCCACTTTCCCATATGCCACCTATCAGAGTTGTATTTATGGCTTTCCTGTCTCTTCCTTAAGCTACTGTTCAAACTATTTGATGATCCTTCAACCATATGGCATTTACCTGTGCTCCAGACTAAAGCACACACCTGTCCTGTTGTTATGTATAGGGGCCAAGTGATATGAGAGCACCCTGCATGCTGTGCTGCTCTGTGGAGATGAAGACATCTTAAGCCTAGTGGGCTTTGTCTTTGAGGCTGGGGCTGGAGTAAGAGAGGAAGGAGCCTGCTAGATTGGCATGCTCAGGCCATCCTGGATTCTGCTATCACAGGACGCATCTGACAGCAGGATCCCTCCCAGCCCCATATGTACAGTAGCACAGAACAGGCTTTTGGGGAGGGCTTCCCAGCATTACAAACGGAAGACAAAACAACCTGCACAAAGAGCTGGTCTGATCATACCCAAAGTTCTCATTTGCATTTTCCACACCATACTTCTTGAACCATTGTTGTTCAGAGATGGAAGGTCCGTATCAAAACACTTTTTAGAGTTAAGATAATCAAGGAAACAAAGGGAGCCACAATGACTTCACCATGTCCCATACAATACAAAACAAGCCATCGCCCTTTGTTTGAGCCAACTACTATAAGGAATGCTAAAGGGAAACAAGATTGTGACTTAACATCAACTGCTCATCTGCCTCAATGCTGAAGAAAAACAAAGGGGAAAAGAGATAGAGTGCTGTTCTCTCCGAAAGGGATCATGAGAGTGTTCCCCAATTTATTGTCACATCTGAAATTTTTAGCGCCAAAAGTGAGGATGGGAAAGAGCCTAAGATATGAAAGCAGTTTTTATAAACTTAAAGGATTCTGCTAATGAAGCAGAAAAACAGAGTCTGTGATTGCCATCTCTAAAAGATGTTTCCTGTGGTGTTTAATGATCAAATATTATTCTACAGAAGCTTAGAAGAATATAAAAGAAGTACCGATAACAGACTGTGAAAATAAGATGATCTTCACAGAAGAATTAATTTTGAAGCTGATTGGGATCTTTATTTGAACATTACATTTTAAAAATATTTTCAGCCATTTCACAAACACCCAGAGGGGCTCTGCTGGGTCTAGTCACAATGTGGTTAATTTATTCAGAATCGTAGTTGACTCATATAAATTGCATTGTATTGTTGTACTCCAGCCTTTTGCCAACCCAGTACCCTTAAGCTTCTTTGTAGATATAGTCCAAAACAGCTGGAGGGCACCAGGCTGGCAAAAGCTGCTGCATCTAATAACCAGCGATGAATTTTATCAGCAGTTGGTCTCTGTGTGTGGTAGCTGAGTAGTAGAGCATCTGCCTTGCATGCAGAAGGTCACAGTTCAAGCCCCAGCATCTGCAGGTAGGGCTGTGAGAGACTTCTACCTAAAACCCTGGGGAGCTACTGCCAGTCTGTGTACAGAGAACTGAGCAAGGAGGACCAACACTCTGACTCAGTGTGAGGCAGCTTCCTATATGAACTGACTTATATTGTTGCCAGTTTGTAGTTTTATCTATTTCTTTTGCTAAAGATACTTAATGTGTTATTGTAAACTGCTCTGAAAAGCCTGTTGGATTGAAAACATGGAATACTGCTTGCCCAGAGCTGGAAAGACGATAAGGTACCTACCAGGGTGGATTGGCAGACAAAACTACTGGACTATGCAGAGATGGCAAGATTAACCTGGAAAATCAGAAATCAGGAGGATCAAAACTTCAGTAAAGATTGGAACAAATTGATATTATATTTGAAAGAGCACTGTAAACACTTGAACTCTTCAGCAGTTTTTAAATAAATCTTGCAATGACACGTAGATTTTGGATACAATGGAGGACAGTAAACTGGATGGACTTGTTAAAAAGTTAAAAAGTTACTCAAAGAACCTACGGAGGGGAAGAGGGAAGTCTTGATATTCAGAAGAATCTTGTGAATTATTATTATTTTACTATGGATGAATATGAATGTGAATGAATTTGTGGAACCAAATAAAAATTATTTAGAAGGAAAAAAGAAAACATGGGATACGGTATGCTGAAATAAACAAAATACAGTATGTTTTTATTCACAGATTATTCAGCAAGAATGTCCTTCTTGCATGCCTGTTTATTTCTATGATGCAATGTAACATGACATTTTAGACAGGGTTTGTTGCAACACACAATGTATGAAATTCAACGAATAAAAATGACAATACCCTCATGACCCATTCTGTATATTTTTGGACCATTCCTTGTGAAGTTCTAGTCTAGCCTACAATTGGTACCCATGAACATTCCTGCTAAGTTTCTACAAAATACTAGCATTAGATTTTAAGTGTATGTTTCTTACAGCACAAGCTCAAGTCTGACACCATGCAGACACCTGACAAAATTGATTATAGCCTGTCCTGCCTCTCCTGTTTGTGTTCCTTTGTGATATCTGTCTCAAAGTGCATGGTTGTCCCGCTGAGGTGTACTTTAAAAATGCTGCCTATGAAAAGGTTCTTTCAAACACCTGGTCTGGTTAGAACAGAGACCTCTGACCTCCAAATGAAAACCTCTGATTCATAAATTCTGCTGTGTTCATTCAGCCTCTTCCCTACAAACAAACAAGCAGAGTCCTTCGGCTCTAACCTTTGCTCTGAAGTGTTTTGGGAACGAAACCTTTCCCATCCAGAGTCTAGGCAGCAGCAGTGCCTTGGCAGGAGGCCTGTCTTCCAAACATGGCCAAGAGAAGCCCGTCCAACCAGGATCAAAATTATATGAGTTGATTTATTCCCTTCCACCCTTGATTTAGTTTTCCTTAGGCCCAGCAAGCCAGTAATGTAACTTTGAATCAATGGAAGGGGACAAATAATATTTATAGCGCATTTCAGGGATCACCACAGTCTGCTCTTACCCAACGGCTGTTGCAATTTGGAAAGAAGAAAAGTGTTAATAGTTAACAAGCTGAACGATCAAGCAGTTTGGATTTGATTTACATTGAGAAGGTTGGCATGGCCTTGGTTCTTGTGTTTAAAGTGAGCTTGCTGGGCATGGTCCCATAGTCACCAGAAACTTACACTCTAGGTAAATACATTACATATCCTTTACTGCCCAGCCTTATCTTAGCTAAAGTTCTAAAGAAGGGCAATGGTGATAGGACTGTATTTGAGGATCAGTGAAGCTAGCTTTTTACTAAACTATAGTTCTGTGGGTGAATTAAAAGTGGGTATTTTTTGCCAGCAAGCTTTCAGAACAAAACAAGGTCATTGCGTATTCTGAGTTGTGACTAAGTCTTTGCCCTTGTACATCCCCTTCACAGTTCATAAGAGAGCTGTAGAGGCAAGCTTCTGGTTAAATTAAAAGCAGCGCCTATTCAAGAAGTTTCCTTAGAGTGAGTCACACCATTGGTACAACTGGTCTGCTACTATCTCCTCTGATGTGGGGCAATTCTCAGGGCGTTCTCAGATATGCTATAAGCAGAGATCCTTGGCACTGAACTTGCCATATATATAAAATAAATACTCTGCCACTGAGCTATGAATCTTCCCCAGGTCAGTAAAGTAAGAATTTGTCAAAGAAATATATCCTAGCTCAGGGATTGGTAGAAAGCAGGTGATGGTGGGACAATCAGTGCCTGGTGGCCCCAATTATCCTTGCAAAGGCAAGTGTTGCTTACTGTACAGGGGTACCTCATGTTAAGTACTTAATCCGGAAGTCCATACTTAACCTGAAACTGTTCTTAACCTGAAGCACCACTTTAACTAATGGGGCCTCCTGCTGCCGCCGCGCCGCTGGAGCACGATTTCTGTTCTCATCCTGAAGCAAAGTTCTTAACCTGAAGCACTATTTCTGGGTTAGCGGAGTCTGTAACCTGAAGCGTATGTAACCCGAGGTACCACTGTACTTGTAATTGATTATTTTTCAGTGCAATCATGTATATGGAGCTCTGAGTCTGTTAGGCTATCTGCAGAGCCGTCTTTTAAAAAGGTTTGCAACTATCCCAACATCTACTTAATGCCATCCTCTAGCACTTTACATTGGATTTCTGTTTATTGTCTTTACATATTCCTGAAAAAATATGGGACAGTTGAAGGGATGATTTAGCCAGATTCTATGTGTTGGGAGTTGCCAGTGAAAATATTTTCCTTTCTGAGAAGTCATAATTAAAAATATTCCAGAAAAGAGATAAAGAAAATTGTAAAGGCTCTAGAGTCTAGACCAAGGACAGGAAAACTGTGGCACTTCTGAGGTTGTTGGGCTACAACTCCCATCAGCCGCAAGCATCACGGTCAAAGGTCAGGGATGGTGGGACTTGTACTTCAACATTTGGTGGGCCACAGGTTCTCCACCACCCTTCTGGACAAACACCAAAGAGCTGGAAGACATCCGCAGCTTGCTTTGGAGTACTAATATTTTGCATTCAGGACCAATGATGCTACAGCGATACTATGTATTATTTTTATTAGTAAATATTGAAAATATATCTAATCCAGTAGGCCTGTAGAAATGTGCAGTATAACATCTAACTGTGCTAGTGGTATTGGTTTTAAAGTAGCTTTGTTGTAAGATTATGTTTGGTTTGTTATATATGCACACAACTCTGAGCACTTTTTAAAGCGGAAGGGCAACTTATGCATCCTCATCATCAGCATAGCATCCACACAATAATGATTGCAACCTAGTACAAGCAATGACAGTTGTACACATGTGCATTACCGCAACCCATAAGTAGCCGAAAAGGGGGGTTTACATATGCTACAGCAACACATGCAAGGATCAGGAATGCAACCGCCATGCAAAATAGTCATTGCCTGTAGTACACCCATTATTTAAAAAAAATTGGGGGGTGGGGAGATCTAAGAAACATAGCTTTTTTAAAAGTATAGCTATTCCAAAGGAAAAAGGAAAAACCTAACAGGGAAATAAATTGGAGATTAACTTTATTCTTGTCTTCCTAAAACTTGCAAATGATTATGTAGCAAGAGTCGCACAGGAGTTTTTCGGGCCCCTTTACAAGTTCGAACTGACTACAGACAAAACAGGAATTCTATTTACAACAAAACTGTGTAGGGCTGGCTGAATAGCCTGATCTTCTTTGCCCCATTTTTAATTTGAGCCAGGGTTGGCTGGAACTCAGGCCAGAACCTTTATACTGTCAGGGCTCAAGCCAAAGTTATGTGAAGACGTTACCAAAGCGCCTTTTAAAAACTTGCTGTGCTTTCCTTACAATTCTCTGTGAGTCCAGAAAGGTCCTTCTGAGTTTAATGTAACTTAGCCCCAGGTAAATGTGCATATAATAGGTCACATTGAAATCTGAGGAAACATCTGAGGAAATATCATGGGTTACCATAAGCTAGCCTTCCCTAGCAGCCCAGTGTCCTCCAGATATTGGCTTTCATTGTCTCTGATTATTGAACATTTTGGCTGGCGCTGATGAGAGTTTGAGACCCAAAGATCCAGAAGATACTAGACTGGGGAAGGATGTTGTCTTGCATAGCCTTCATGCTCCATGCAAGAGCAGTTTATCATTTAATAAGTTGATAGACTCCCGTCTGCATATTATGCTCACCCTACTTCTCTGTGTGCTGCGGAGTTCTGGGAGAACAGTGTTTACCCAGGTTTGGTTCCCTATGCAAAGGCATTGCTGGAAGCTTATTAGCACATTAAAATGATTTGCATTTATTAGCAAATATACAGTTTTGAGCATTGGCAGAGAAATGAAACACTCCATCAGAAAGCCAAAGTGCACTGCTCCCGTGCTGAATCTCCAGAGACGCAGCATTCATCCTGTTACTTACAGAGCAACCCTACTTAAAGAGACAGCTCTCCTCTCTTCACCCCCCGATTGAGCTGGCACACATACATTTGGATTGTGCTGCCTTTGTCTAGAAGAGTGGGAAATTTTACCCTTTTACCCTTTCAGTATTCAGGAAAGTGGTTTATGTGTTCGTTCCCATGGAAACACATCAGCAGGCTGCTAACATCTGTCAAATAGAAGCATTGCCCCAAGGCAACCCACCTTGACAGCCCTACCGGCAGAAATCTGATAGCAAACCCATAACAATATATAGTGTAGTTAGGATCCTGTTAGGCCTTGGATAATTCTATTCTTGTTTGCAGCATTGGCACTAGTGTTTCTGGCAAGAAACATGGTATGTGTGGACCAAGTACCCCACATTTTAAGCACTCCTATATATGCTAATAGAGATCCTAGCATAATCATGATTCCTAGACACCTGGCTGGGAGCTGTGTAGCTTTTTAAAATGATTTTCCAACACTGACAGTGGAAACTTCCCCCTGGCTTCCTACCTTTAGCTAATATCCTCCTACTCCTGCCACCAACTGCACAGATGTTTTGAAAATGCCATCACATTTTTAATAACTGAGATTCCAGCTCTTCAAAGTATACATGCAACACTTCTGGACACTGGCAAGATTAGGGATACAAGCAAACTCAAAAGTGATACTGAAAACCAGTAACGTTAAGGGATATCACTGGAAAATTTGGATTTTCAAGGTGTTTCTAATGGGACTTTCTGCTCACTATTGCTAGCACACTTTACAGCAGGGTTTTTGCTCAGCTTACTGAAACTGTCATTTACCCAAAAATAAACAAACCCCTTGGCATTAAGTCAACGTATACTCCAAACAGACAGTTAGTTATACAGGGCTTTAAAAGCTCCTGCGTGTTAGTGGCTTAAAATAGCTAATTACTGACCTGAGCAGCAGTTAATTTATATTGGGAACAGAAAGTGTGCATGTGGAATGGGGTGATTGGAAGACACTAGTATGTATCAGTGTGAACTACCTACTACATCAAATGGACTATTCACACAGAAAGTTCTGATTTAGAGAAACACATTTATGAACTAAGATAACACTAGTATATAAAGGCTTTGCTGTATTTGGCAGGATGACTGGTCAAGGCACCCGCTTAGTATTTTGAATCCATCATCTTTGTGGCTGTGGTTGCTCTAGCTGTCACCGGAAAGGACACATAGTGGTTCCCAATTTTAGCTGTTCCTTGAGGTTTTGTTTTTTTTAGCACGATGACCTGTTTTTACCTCAACAGTGGTATAGTAGGGTTTTCACATTCCTCTTCTTAAATCAACAGATTATCAGCAGATATGACAGTAAACTTTCAGGCTCAAGCCAGACTTGAAGTGTTTAAGAACAGCTTAGTTTATGAACAACTTGGAAACAGAACGCTGCAAACCTGGAAGTAGGTGTTCCGGTTTGTGAACTTTGCCTTGGAAGCTGAACATGTTCTCCTTCCTGATGAGTGTGTGTTGTTTGTAAATTGAGTCCCCCGCTGCTCATCAGTCTGTCGGCTGTTGAGTCCCGAGCGCCCACACAACACAGAGGTGATATTTGGAGATTTGTTCTTGGTCTTTTTTGCATTTTTGTTGTGTTTTTTCGCTTGACTATGACTTGTTCTTCATTTTATGGGACTGACTTGTGACTTCGTTTTTGTGACTGTGTGTAACCCAGTTCAGCTACTGATTGTGACTGAAGAAATGGATAAAAGCCCCCCTTCCCATCAATGACTATCATCAGTGCACATAAGAAAAAATAGTAATTTTAATTTCTATCAACTACAATACCATCTTATTTATTTTATAGTACAGTGGTACCTCGGGTTACATACGCTTCAGGCTACAGACTCCGCCAACCCAGAAATAGTACCTCGGGTTAAGAACTTTGCTTCAGGATGAGAACAGAAATCGTGCTCCGGTGGCGCGGCGGCAGCAAGAGGCCCCAATAGCTAAAGTGGTGCTTCAGGTTAAGAACAGTTTCAGGTTAAGAATGGACCTCCAGAACGAATTAAGTACTTAACCTGAGGTACCCCTGTGCAGTACATTGATTATTGCTTTCATTTTATGGACCAATGGTCTCATTAGATAGTAAAATTCATGTTAAATTGCTGTTTTAGGGGTTGTTTTTAAAAGTCTGGAATGGATTAATCCATTTTGCATTACTTTCTATGGGAAAGCACACCTTGGTTTTAGAACGCTTTGGTTTTGGAACAGGCTTCCGGAACAGATTGGGAACCAAGGTACCACTGTACAAAGTTTGTTTTAACCTCAAACATAAACTTTCCGTCTTCTGTAACTGACCCAATGGAGCAGGCTAACCAATTTCTGATAAAAATGCGATGAATTTGGAATTGTGGGTGGCCCTTCTTGCCTTACCTTACGCAAGCAGGATGTACTAAATGTCCTCTGTGTTGCCACTTGGTTTTTTGGTCTGACCACTTACCTTGACTCTGAGCTTTCATATGTCCTTTCGTTGTGTGGTCTCTTTTTTTCTTTAGTCTTGGTATATCAAGATTCTTCGGTACACCCTTTTTATACATGTGTATACAATCCTATTTGTGTATGGCTGTTTTATTTTCAATTGGTGGAAGGGTGTTGTTCCTTATTTTTTTATTGTTACTTGTTACATTGAAAACAAAAAAAAATGTAAACATTAAAAAAAATAAAGTCTTCCCTAACCTTAAAAAAAGGAGCAGCACTGGAAATCTTACTGGGGTCTTATGGAGGAAAAACATGGAATGAGAATAAAATTAGGAAATTGCTAAGGCTTTATTGAATCTATCCATCCACTAAGCTAATGTAATTGTTATTATTAATCCACACAATTCGTATTTCTAAATGGAGAAGCAGCAGCCAGCAGTTATATTTAGGGATATTTTAAAAACAAATATCAAGATAGTGTCTGGTTCTATTTTGTAAAAAAAAAACCCAACACTGCAATGTACAATTTTGTATAGCCATATTATTTTCTTAACTTCCATGAACTAGTACCCAGCAGCACTTAAATGCATTGAAAACAATATGCTAGTGATCAGAATTCATTTACTAAATGTTTGTTCCTTTATAAACCAGTCATTAAATGTCATTTTTGTATTTTTTATTACATTATTACATTCATTAACAAATTTTTATTTTATTATAATGTTGTTTACATCATGGTAGAACATTATAACTGTATAAGTATATGATATCTCAAAGGTCCTAACTGAAAAAAACAATGGTAGCTTGACAGTTTGAGTCTGTGAATGTTTACTTGGGATCAAGTCCTATTTTGTTCAATGGGACTTGCTTTTTCCTTTTCCTTTTTAAAGCATGTATTAAGACAGCATCCTCAATTTTCTAGGGCAGGATAAACTTCAGCAACAGATGCAATACTTTGGGGGAAAATGCCCTGATTTTAAAATACAAAGTATATATATAAAACTTCATCTGCTGCAGAATAGTCAAAAGTAACACACCTATGCACACTGCATAAATCACAGATCCTTACAACTAGGTTCAAATTAGGGGCAGCAATGCCTCTATTTCTTCATCTTTGTTAGCTTATCTTCAGTGCTGTCTGGTATCATGCCCATGCATTCTTCTGAATTTGCCACATGGTGCTTTAAAATGGAAGACCGGATCACATCAATATCACGTCCTAAATGGTCCTTTATGGCTGAAACAACTGTTGGTGGAGAATTGAAGTCTACCAAAAAATACCTGGAAATAAAGAAGAATACAATAAAAACAAAGCTATAAGCATGAAAGAGCACAAGGGCCCTGGTGGATGAGAACAAAGGTCTATCTAGCGCAGCATTTCCTAAAGGGGCAAACCACGTGCCAATGGGGCATGAGGGCAGCAACATTTTCCTGTTGCTGCTGTTTCCCACAAAATGGTATGCAAAGACATCACACCTCTGATCCCGGAGGCATTATATACCTTTTGTGACTCATACTCACTCCATGAATTTGCCCAATTCCCTTTTGAAGCCTTCTAAGTTGGCATCCACTAAAAATGCCAGAAGTTACATAACCCTTTCCTTTATAATCACAACAGATCCAAGCTCATCTTGAGAGTGTCTGAACTTCTAGAGATCAAAGTTCCAGAAAAGAAATGCATTTCCAAGAGGCATTCTAGTATAAATTTTATGAATTTAGGGCAAGCCCCCAGAGTATCATTTTATTGTTGCTCTGAACAAGGATAGAGCCTGTATGAGAGACTATGTATTCCATGCATTCTTCCTCCGTATACAACTGGAGAGCACCATCATGCTACACATATGATATCCGATATCAGAGAATCTAGTTACATATTGTAAGATATGCATGTGTCAGGGGTTCAGGGAGAGAGGCACAGGGTAGGCAGGAGATGGAGAGCGAGGGGGAGGAATTCCAAGCCAGCGAGGAAGAGGATGACAATGACTCAAGAGATTCCATGAGTCTTTCCAGCGAATCAGAGGATTCCCAGAAGGGGGCGCCGGTGGTCAAGGCCAGGGGAGCCCCAGGGGGGAAGTGTCAGGAGCAGGGTGCTAGCGGAAGATCCCAAAGTGGCAGCTGGGCGTCAGGACCAGCCTCCCCACCAGAGTGCAGCGAAGGGGGTGGAGTTTCCAGTGTGTCAGAGGAAGCAGCTCCAGCAGCAGAGAAAGGAGGGGGGTCAGAGCAAGCCGCCCTCCCGGAAGGGGAGGGGAGCAGTGAAGGGAGTAGTGTAACTGTCAAAAGGAAAGTTAGAGGTTTGGCGCGCGCGCCTAGTTCAAATGTAGAGGCGCGCGGAAGTGCAGGGAGCCCGGAGGAGGGGCCAGGTCCCAAAGCCCGCAGGAGGGGGGGAAGAGCAGTCTGGGGATTCCGCATCAGAGGAATCCAGGAGGGGCGAAACCCCAGTGGGCAGAAGGACCCTGCGGAAAAGGAAGGAGAGAAAGAGGTGGAGCAGCGCAAGTCTCTTAAATTGGTGCAGGGGAGGAACTGACTCAGAGGGGACTTCGGCGGTCTAGCGTAAAAGACGTAAGGCTGCGCGCCTAGGATGTCAAGCAAACCATGAACTGCAATAAACACTTTTGTATATAAGAAGACAGAGGCGTTGGTCTTTTGTGAGCTAAGACTTGAGGCAGCCTTGACAGCATGCTTCCCATCAAAAATTTGCTATAGCAAGATGGCATGTTTTTATTTAGAAATGGGAAGCAAAAAAACAGGTCAAAGCAGCAGGTATTTATTGTCCTTTTGCTTTAAAAGTTCAAATTACTGAGGACAGAAGCCACATCTGAAGACAGGCAACACCAACTTAAGAGTCTTGGCATTCATTCAGAGGCTCTGCATACCATACTGTAGTTCTCTGCAACCTTGGCAACAATGCAGAGATTTAATTTTCACACACTTCTAGTACTGCCTGGAATTCTTGATATCAAGGCAAACATTCTCCTGTTTGCCAACGTCTACTTTGACGAACGGAGTGTTTACCATGTGCAAGAACATTTCAGATCTTCTATTTCACTCAAGTGCAAGGAAGAATCCTGGAAATTTGTTTCATGGGAGCAAAGTGATTTTCAAAACTTCACTGTGATCATATCAACACCCAGTCGTTTTTCTACAAGCTGTAGTAGCTTCTTTTTGAGGATGGAACTACTGGCTTTGAAATGGGAGACAAAACCAGTGCCTGGTTCCATTAGGAAGAAGCAACTACTTGGAATAAAGAAGGATTGGGATGGGATAAGTTCCCAAACTCTTCCCACCTCTTTTCTACTGCAGTCTCTCTCCAGTGGAATTCTAGGCAAGATTGCATAAGCAAACATGCATCTGGAACCCTATGTGAAGGCCAACCAGAAGTGTAGTGATGGCCAAATTTGGCCCTCCAGCTGTTTTGGGACTACAGTTCCCATCATCCCTGACCACTGGTCCTGTTAGTTAGGGATGATGGGAGTTGTAGTCCCAAAACAGCTGGAGGGCCAAGTTTCCACTGCAGTAGTGGAAAGATAGCAAGCAGGGGAATGGTTTAAACATACATGCTCACCACTTTTCCAGTCCAAACTGACCCCTCCCCTTCCACAATCTATTTTCCCCTCAAAAGTAGCCACTGGTGTTTTTATGCACATGCTCAATTTATATTTTGTTCAAAGTTTTACAGTGAATTGAAGTAAATAAGAAAAAAGAAATTCACACATGTGTGTACGACATCAAATCAAACTCTCAGAAAAGTAGAACAGTATCCTAGGATACCAGCTTGGTTAAATAAATCATCATCATACGAGTTTTCAATGATCAACCAACTACAACTACATAAATTTCCATATGAGGAAAAACAATAGTTCTGGGGTATGATGCCCACACTGCAGCAAGCATCATATTAGAAAAGGCAATTCATCCTGAGAGGAAGAAAAGTGAGAATGCCTCTTAAAATAGAATTCTCTGTTCTCTGTTTTTGTAAGTAATTACTGGCCCGCCATCAAGACTAGTTAAGCCTGGCAGGCTCTAAGGCAGGGCCTTTTCAGTAGTGGCCCCAACATTATGAAACTTCCTCCTAAGAATGTGCAAGTTGGCTGCCCCATGCCACAATTTTAAAAAAGCCTTTGGAAAGGCACGTTTCAAATTAGTGTGTTTAGCTGCTGTTTTATTGATATTCGACTGCCAAGTCTCTGGAAATGAAAATAATATTTTAGTGGTCTAGTAGACTGTAATCCAATACTAACTTTCTGGGGATTGTCCCATTCAACACAGTGGGGCTTACTTTTGAATAGACATCTAAAGGATTGTGCTGTTAGTTGACTTCGATAAATGAGGTTTGCCCTATTTCCTTTCATATGGAGCTTGCAGCATTCAGTCTTAATGAGGTATTACTGTAAACTGAGTGAGAGAAAAATTCAAGAGCCATCTCTTTTAAAGAAACAAAACCTTATCATTTTCCTGCTATTTGTGCTCATCTAATCCTCCTGAAACAAAGATATAGAATGTATGTTCTATGTCTGCATCTTTTAGGGAATAATTATGACACACTCACAACATAACCCCCCTGTTACATTTTACTAATTTTTCTACTACCTTGCTAAACGAGAATAGTGGGCTGCTTTCCATTGTGTCTTTAAAACTGAAATGGATTCTGCTCCAAAAGGAATGGCTTGCAACTCGTGTTCTCTCCTGCTCATATAGGCAGGCAGTGGAAATTTCCACTGTGCTGCTGTTGATGATAACTGAAGGCAGCATTGGGGGATGGGGGAGATGAGATGCTGCTGCTGCTGCATTGTCTTTGTCGTTGCCATTTCAGCAGCAGCAAGAAATGTTATCTGGAGATACAAGAAACATAGCAACTTGCAGCATGCAAGTTTATTAGCTGTATCAAACACCCCCAGTATTGGAGCCAGTCTATGGATTTGGTATGTATCCGTGTACAAGAGATCAGGAAAATCCACCTTTGTCTTTTGGAATTATAGCCCAGGTATGCCCCAGGCAGACAAACAAAAGAAAAAGCAACTGCACTTTAAGAGCTGAGCTGGAACTTACTTTCTGTTCGTAGGCAATCAAGCCAGCACCAATTGTGTTTTGTGCAACCCAGCAGCTCTATAATGTGTGGAGCAGCTCCATGTTCAGCAATGAGTTGTGACCAGGTACGTAAGTACTGTAGCACTACAGTTTCTCGTGCAAAGTAACTAGACCTGGTGCATGTGGTTTGAGGATGGGATGGGAAGAAAGGTGGTTGGGGAAGAGAGGAGGCGGCAAAGATCTATTTACAGAGATATAATGTTCCTTTGCAGGCAAAACTGATGGAAGTACAGCTCAAACTCTCCAGGCACCAGCAGCAAAAACCGGTACAGAAAAACAAAAAATCAGGACGATTCTGCTGATTCAGTACAGAAACCCTAGTTATTTTGGTGCACTGTGCATAAAATGTGATGGGACAGTTAAGACTTTTTACTGCCAAAATAACATCTCTGTAAAGAGTTAAATGAACACCTATTTCAGATCAAACAAGTGGTAAGAAAAGAGGACTGGATATTGAACTGTATCCAGGCCAAGATTAAATCCAGGGATTTAAAATATAGTCTACTAGACAACTATATTCCCGAATGTGTTTATCAAAGTTAATCAGCACCAGAGAAACACCTGGACCAGGCTTGTTTTGGAATCCTATTGGGAAAAGCAGTTCTCAGCTGATCTTGTGTGAATGAGGGCCCAAGGGAGAACCTGGTTAAGACCGTGCCCAGGAAATTTCCATGTTTTATAAAGAGTCAGCTTCAGCTTTCCAATATGCCATCACAATTTTTAGACTACACCACAGAAGGCTTATTAAGTCAAGATGAATATCACCGATTGTGTGGCTGAGAGACACACTAGAATAACTTCTTGTCTACTAATGGGCAAGAGCCAAACTGGGAATCCCAAAGGTGCTGGACACTTCTGGAAAAGATCGAATGAGCCATATTAACATCTGAATCTGAAACATGGTCAGCTTTCACTCGCAGGCCAAGTCCATCCCCTCTTGACTGCTATGCAAGAGAAGTGGGACAGAACCCTCCATTTGCCTCTCAAAATACCACCTGGACTAGGGGGCAAGGAAACCTTGAGCTGCGCACAGCACAGATCGTAAGGACGAAGCTTTTTCATAGAGCAAGTTCCACCAAGTACAATGGGGCTTATTCACAGGTAAATGGGATTAGGACTGCAGCTTTAGCTACCTTTTGTGCAACAACTGCAACTTAAGTGTTTACACACTTGGCAAAACAAACGGCTTCACATTTGGAAGTATAGGGTGTACTCCAATCCAATGTACTGAAGAAAATATTTTTTAAGGATATTTCATCTCAGAAGAATCAGGCAAAGCCCTTGAAAAGCACAGTCATACCCACCAGCCAACATCAACTGATGGCAGTTTCTAGTATCCCATAGAATGCAAGTCTATTTATGAAGAATGAAAGCGAGAAGAAAAATGTTAAGCAATAATTTCATGATTCGATGTGCTAGGAAACCTGCCATATGGTAGACGTTTATGTCCACAACTGAATTTATTTTTTAAAAGCAACACTAAGAGAAATTGCCATGATCCAGGAAAGAAGAAACAAGAACAACAAACCACCCCTTTCATAGCGAACACAGAGGACAATTTGCTTCAATTCAGTTTTCGTACCTTAAGCTTTTTCAAAAGACATCTATTTTCCTTTTATGGCTTTTTGTGCAAAACGTATACATGCAGATTGTAACATCATTTCAACAGCAACATATCTATTTGTACGCTTTCTACATAGCAGAATTGCCTCTAGTACACAAGCTAAAGAACTTTTTTTTGTATGAATGCAAGATGGGACTCTGCTGGATCAAGCTGATGGTTCTTTCAGTCAGACATCTCATTTCCTGGAAAGCCCACACACAGGACATAAAGACAATAGCCTTATTATTGCAGTAGTTGTTATTGCTTTTATTTTATTTATACCCCGCCCATCTGGCTGGGTTTCCCCAGCCACTCCAGGCGGCTTACAGCACATATAAAAACATAGTAAAACTTTTGGTCCAGAGCAGTTGGCCCTGCTACTTCTGGACCAGGGGACTGCATCATGACTGATAGCAAGGATACACTTATCCTCCAAGAATTTGTCTAGCCTAGTTTTAAAGCTATCTAAGCTATTTACTGATTAAAAATGTTTTGAAGCCACCCTTCACCCTTACAAATACCAGACCAATACTGTATAGAAATGGCATGACCAGAAAATCATAATCAAGTGGCCATCACTACACTGTGTGAACACTGCTCACAATAAAGATCCTGTATGGATCAGCTTTTTTATTTCTAAGTGAAATGTTGTAATGGATGAAAATACAAAAGTGAACAGTGTTAGTAGACTCCATCAACTTTAATTGCTTGCCTTTCAGGTAGACTCGCACTGGCAATGCAGATTCTATTCACTGCAACTTAGAAATCTGCCTCTGAAGTGCCACTACCTACCTAATCCCCAATCCTTTTCTCATAGGGCACACTCAAAGAGAAAGTAGATGCACTTCTATTGAAATCAAGTGCTCAGCTAATGGAACTTAAGTGCACTCAACATCTGCTGTACAGCACCAACAGATTTTAGCACACACACAGTATCTCCCACCTTGCAAAATACTTGAACAGAACGCTGTGCGCCTGTGTCACATCATCAGTTTAACAGCACAAATGCTAGTGGTAAATTTAAACTCGGGTTGAACTCTTATGCAACTCCAGACACAGCGCAAGCTGTAGCACTTATTGCCAGAGTTTGGATGCCAACGCACATCAATACTTGCTTGTTCTCACACAGTCAAGATGATGCAAAACATGAGGGACCTATTGAGTTTGGTGAGGTTGCGCAGCATGTGCACATGAAACAAAACAGATGCAGCTGAAAGGCTCGTAACTCAGTAGTAGGACCCAGGACCTACCTGAAAACGGTCCTAGACCTAGATGCAAACCCCCCAAGTCACAGCCAGTCAGTGTAGGCAATAATGACCTAGATAGTCTGGCTCAGTTTAAGGCAGTTTCCTCTGCTCCTATCTCACCACATGCAGCTCCTTAGGCACAGGAATGCTTCCTGTGTGGGGTATTTGCAAGAGAAAGTGTTTTGTTCTGTTTTTGAAACTAAACCATGGTGTGGGCTTTCTTTAGCAATGTACAGGGCCTTTTCTGTGGCTGTGCCCTGACTATGGAACCCACAAGCCAAGGCAGGTTAGATGGACCTCATCTCTGCAATTTCAGGAAGACACTAAATGCTTTTATTCTGCACTTGTAAAGGTTTGATTCCACTCCTCATGGTTTGCAAGATATGCTCTTAATCTGGTTTATTTTTCAAACTTAGTTTTAATATGTGTTTTGCATGCCCCCCTTGGGGAAATGAGCTAGTACTGAAGGGCAGGTTAGAAATATGTTTCTTTATAAAGAAATACATTTCTTTATAAATATATAACTATATAGATTATTGTAAGGGAGGGAAATACAAGATAATAAGCTCTTAAAATGTGAACATGTTTTGAGTGGCTATCATTTCAGAAGTGCATCTCTGCAGTTTGTGCAGCAGTATCATTTGAAATATCCGCAAGGGAAAACAGGTAATAAGCTGCACTGGCTGCCCATCAAGGTGTGCACATTTGTATCTTCAAATGCCAGGGAGAAAGACTGCAAGTTGTTATTTTGATTATTGAATGAAGTCTCTGTGCGACCCTGGTTGCCTAGCAACATTTCTCCATCCTTGCTTACAGGCATTTCTCTTTCAAAAGATATTCTCAGGGAGTTTAACAGCAAAATGTTAAGCAATTATAGGATAAACTCTGCAGTCCACTGTAATCATTTATCTAATGCATCTTAATTTTCAAATGCCAAGGCATTTTTTTCTTGGACTGAAGATATTTCTCTTAAAATCAGTAACTACAATAATAATTCTTCTTTTACTTGTGCACAACCATCTTTAATAATGATTTCACCATTAAAAACACCCTCAAAAATATACTTTGCTTCAGATACACAAAAGGGAATAAAATCAACCCTGAATTAGTATCTCAAAAGATAAATAATTATCGTTTCCAACTGGCTTTGGTGAAATAAAAATGTTACCTTGGAAAGGAAGTGTCTACATGAAGGGCATTTCTTAACAAAGGAAATAGTAAAGAATCAATGCTTGCATTAACTAGCAGATAAATATGAACAATGAAATTATCTACCCAAATTACTGTGTGCCTCATTTTGGAATTGTTAAGTAAACAGATTTGTGTGCTTTGTGGAGTCTACTTCTGGAAAGAAACAGTTTAATTCTGAAATGAAAAGTGTATCTAAGTTACATTAATTACCCAATGGAAATTAAGAGGCCCTTAACAGTAAATCCTGTACCTGGGCTTCAATCCAAAGAAGTGATATGTGTATGCAGAAAAGAACAGCACACACAGCTTTAACTGATGACCACCATGTCCCTAATCAGTAAAAATAGTTGCAGCAACATCCAAACCTCAGCAGCACACAATGTTCTCCCCTATGCTCCTACCTTGTCTTTAGATCACGGCTTTGAGCATTTATTTAACAGCTAAGGGTTACCTATTCATGTTGCTTGCCAACCTCCCCCCGCCCAATAGCACCACAGCTCCTTCAAACTCCTCCCATATCCCTCACAGATTCTTCAACACACCCATCCCCACTTGCCACCCCACTGCCATTTGCCACCACCCCCGGTGCACCCCCAAACTCTTGCATCCACTCACTAATTGCCCAAATCCCAGGACTCTGTTGCCACTGCCACTCAAGGAAGACAGGGAAATGAAGATGAGTGTCTATCTCCTCTTGACTTTGCACCGCCAACAGAAAGTGGGCAGCAACACAGGGTAAAGAGATTTGCTTCTATTTCATTCCCTCCTTAGTGCGGCAGTGAGATCATAGGATGGAGGAGAGGGGGTGGGAGAGTTTTGAGAGGACTGCTGGTGGTGGTGACAAAAGTGAGCATGTGAAGGCCTACAGCTCTGCCTGGACCACCACCCAACTACCTGCTCACTCTGCCTGCCCAGCATGGCCACCTGCTCATTTGAATCCTGGATTCCCCTTGCCCTGATGTACGTGTGCGCATGCAAACGGACAAGCAAGTGGAGGCAATGCGAGAAAAGTGTGAAGGCCGGCTTGGGCCACCCACCTGCCCACTTACTCTGCCAGCCTGTCTACGTTGCTTGCCTGCTCCGCCCAATGTTGTCAGGCTGCAACTTCTCCCCTTTCAAAAAAATTCCATGGCAAGAAATACTATTAAAAACTAGACTCAAGGCTTGTGAAACTCATACCCTCCTCTGGTGTGACGTTGATTGTGCTTTGAGATTCTGTATGGCAGCGTTCTTTCGCCCAGGTTTTCCAAATTCCTCACCACTGCTCCTCTCTCCATCAAAGCTTCCACTGTGCGTTTCAGTGTTGCAGCTGTCTCAGGCTTTAAACACAAAGAAGACGACATGTGTTTGTAGTGCAGTAAATGACTATTGCCCCCTATACTTACCTGGCAAGAAAATAATAAAGGAGGAACTGGAATAGATGTCAAAGGAGAGGGGGGAATTCTGATTCTTCTCTCATCACCTCCAAGGGTGCTGTATCAGACTATAACAATCACTAACAGCAACACAGTGCACCTGTTACGTCACAATTACACCCAACTGAGTTCAATGGGAGACATTCTAGACTGAATGTGCATTTTTGACAGCATCAAATATATTTAATATACTGCACATTACAACATTACAACTGCAAATAACTATTCTTATAAATGCTGCAAGTTTCCAGGAATGCACTTCTGAAGTGTGTTTTACCTATACCCATATTGTAATTAACTCAGGAAGTCAAGCTTGTCGTATTACACCACACAGGCTGATAATTTCTTTCAATTCCATTTAAAGGTCATTGCGTTACATTAAATTTAAAAGGATATAATGTTTTAGACTGATCTGCGGTGAAAGTGAGCACTCAGAGAAGTGCATTCCATATCTGTGAAGCGTGTGTGTGTCTCCCCCCCACACACATTCTTGCCTCCCTCCAGTGAAACTCCTTGTTATGAACAAGTAATCTGAAATAATGTGAAGGCAGGAGCTGCGGAGTTCAAGAACAGACCCATCTCCTGCAATTAAAGGACCATTCTCAATATTTGATTTTGTCCTGCTTGCACACTTTTGTTATGTATGAATTTGATTTGTGTGTGTGTGATATTTTGCTTCCTCGGCAACTAGATTTCCAGAATACAACTTAGTCTGAAGATTCTCATTTCCAAGGGACCCTGAATGTGCAAGTATATGCAGTGTGGGTGTACAGTGGTACCTTGGGTTACAGACGCTTCAGGTTACAGACTCCACTAACCCAGAAATAGTACCTCGGGTTAAGAACTTTCCTTCAGGATAAGAACAGAAATCGAGTGGCAGTGGCATGGCGGCAGTGGGAGTCCCCATTAGCTAAAATGGTACCTCAGGTTAAGAACAGTTTCAGGTTAAGAACAGACCTCCAGAACGAATTAAGTACTTAACCCGAGGTACCACTGTATGTGTGTTGGGACAATGCATTTGTGTTGATGTGTTCACTAGTTTTTCCTTGGTGTCTCCTGCCACAGAGGAGAGTGGCTTTGGAGAAAAAATACAGAACCAGTTGGAAAGAAATTTTCGCATGCAACCGAAGTCTTTGCAAGTATGAAATAAGTATCTGTTTCAACAATAGAACCATTGTTTTAGGTATGCGAGTTACTTCATGTTCCACTGGGGAAACAGGATCACAAAATCGGAAGGGGAGGTTTCACAATAAGTTGTGCAGCTTGTAGTTAAAGGCCTTTTTTTAATTAATGTTGGCTGAAGAAGACCCTATGCAGCTCTTGAACACGTATCTCTTACATCTTCAGGGTCAAAAAACAAACAAAATAAACCACCCCAAAACCACAATAGCACTGAAGCGTATTTTAAGTGCTAAGGATATACCGAGTATGGTCAGCAGATGGGACAAAACAGAAATATAGCCAATGTTCTAAGTTTACAACCACAATCCTTGCTTGCTTTTGAAGGATTATTGCAAGCAATTTAAATAGATCCCAAGGTCTGCCACTGCAAAGAGGTTTGGGAGGGGGTAGCAAAAAGGAAGAAAAACTGTAGAAGCTGCTAGTGAGTGGGCAGTGGATCCTGCCTTGCAAGGAAGGTGAAGCAAGGCCAATGGATAAGAATGTTTAACACTCGCAAGGTGTGCCTGCATAGCATATTTGCCACTAGGTGAACAGTGCTCACTCTCTTCATCTGGAGATCAGAAATAAGTCATGCACATTTGTTGCCTCACAAAAACCGTTCCTCAAAACAAAACTGATCTGAAATGAGTGTTTATAAACCACTGAAGGATTCAATTAGGAATCTTTCACAATGAAAGGTGCAAAACAAGTGGTTGGGACTTAAAAATATTACCAGAAAGTTAATACATTGTCTACCAAGTTCCAAAACAGTTTGAAAAATACTTGTGAGTTTGTTTCTTTATTTTGTACTTTTATTTGACCTTTGTACAGAAGTTGAAACATTTCCATATAATAACTCTGAGAGGACAAAAATTCCACATTCAAAAGGAATGTAAACTGCAAGAAATACAGTTTTAATTATACAAATACTCTAATAAGAGTTTATTTTGAAGACTAATGCAGAAGGCAAAATAAGTACACAATATACAACAAACAAACACAGGGCTAGCAATAAGAACTGAATTTTTCATCAGAATTTACTTACTGTCATATTAGCAATGTTCTATACACTGGATCAAACCAATATTCTATGACAAATTTGTAATTGTGGGTGGTAGCAATGGACAATTACAAAATCTCTGTTTTCATAACACTTCTAGATAGTCTTACTACATGGGTATCTTATTCAAAATTTCATTCTTTTCAGGTCATACGTATGTTTTTTAATTTTTAAAAAAGTGGCCAAAGAGCTCTGAAATCAAGTAGATTTATTACATCTATATGCCCATTTGGTTAATTCCTGCCCCCCTCCCAAAGTTTGGGTGGCGTTCAAGATTTGACATGCTGCACAACATTTGTTTTTGGTCTGCAAAATCTTTTAATGTTTCTTTTAAAAAAACCAAAGCAATTGTAATTTATTTAAATGCTACAGAAAGTACAACAGCAATAAAAACACTTCACGTCTCTTTAAAAAAATGTAATAGTAATATTAAAAAGATACACGATATAAGTAGCATTACACTGACAGTTCTTAAAACCAAGAATGAACAAAAAGGATTTATCTAGCATTATTAGAAAAGAATTTGCTTTCTTCTTGAAGAAGACTACTAATTTTTTTGCACAGCAACTATTTTTATATCCACCTCATTTAAAAGCATGTATTCTTAGACACTTAGTATTCTTGTATGTCATTTCCATCATTGCTCAGTGTCTGGCTTTGCCCAGTGAAGCTAATAAATGCTATGGAAAAGTAGTGTCACCAAATGCCACTACATAACATTTTATATTAGATACAATCAGAACAAAAATAAAGCCTTTTGTTTTAAACCGGCACCCTCCATACCCCAGACTGTTTTGTACGAAAGAAAAGCTTTTTGCCAACAAGAATTTACAGACCTCACAGTGAAATTAAACATCTGAATTATATATACTTTCATTCTAGAACTATGACCCTACAGCTAATTAAAACAGATTTAAAACCACTGAGTTATACACAATTTCTATCAAAAGAACCCTTAAACATCAGACACATCTTTGATTTGAAACATTACATGTAGAATGTTAGTTTTATTTCAAAACATATACTTTTAAAGGCACAGACAGACAGCATACCAAACGAACAGTGGCTATCTACGTTTAAAATACGTCACACAATTTAATCTTTTCCTTAAAAGACTAGATTTGTGAATTCAATATATATATATACTTTATAGGGGTGGGCGAGACTGAAACAAACCCAGTACACTGCAATTTGCCTTATGACAATGATTTAAAAATAAAGCTGTAAAATCATTCTAAGCACATTTTTCTGTCTACATTTCATAAGTAATTGTTAGCCTACAATCCAACCCATTCCTTTCCCAGGAAGATATTGTACTTTTCAGATGACTGATGGAAAGGAGAGAGGAAGGGGGAATGGATAGCACACAATCATTAGTCTTTTGTCACTTCTAGATGGTGACAAAAGGAAATTAAGAACACTTGCCTAAACAGAAGCTACGCTGTTCCTGAAAACAATGCAAAAATAAGGCCCACGTACAGTTTTCTGACTGATGCTTCTGTTGGCTTAAATAAGCAAATGAACGTTTAAAAACCATCATTTTAAATTCATGAAAATATGTGGGTATCTAAAGTAGGGCTTGGTTAAGTGTCATGTTCACACATAAGGCAATAAATTGCCAGACACCCGGAATGATGTTCACACAAACAACTAGGCCCACCTCTGGAATGCTTGCCTAGTTCCAGAATGCAGGGCTATAGCCACTGATAGTGGTCAAAAGATTTAGGTCCTATGGAAGTAGTATTGATCAATGGGAAGAAAACACATACCCAACTGTATAATACAACAAATAAAGTTCCCCTCTGTCTACACCACAAACCTCCAGACTGATAAAAGGCATATTCAACATAGAATGAAACAAACAAAATCCACTGGAGTTCAGAGGATCAAAGCTAGAATTTTGCTAAACAGACAGGATTTATTAGAAAGAGCAGGCGATATTACAGCAGTTTAAGAATGCTCATTGTGTTAATCTCAGAAGCTATTAAAACAAATTCCCACTTAGCGCAACTGGTTTTCTCCTGCTCTGGAGGGAAGGACTCAAACCAATGGCTTTTAAGTTACAAGAAAAGATATTCCGACTACTTTCTGATGGCAAAAGCTGTTCAACAGTGGAATGGACTCCCTTGGAAGATGGTGGACTCTCCTTCATTGGAGGTTTTTAAGCAGCGGCTGTATGTGCATCAGTCATGGGTGCTTTAGCTGAGATTCCTGCATTGCAGGGGGTTGAATTAGATGACCCTTGGAGTCCCTTCCAACTCTATGTTCTATGAACTGCCAAAAGGGTCTGCTTATGAGCTACTTTACGTAGGCTCTAAAGACATTGTGATGAGACTAATTTCTCTTGTATACATTGCTAAATACAGTTAAGCATCAGAGGGCTATATAACATGCAGAAATCCAGAGATAAATAGCAAACGTTTTTATTCTTTAGAGATTACTTGTTCTACATACTGGGTGTTCTTTTAAAGCAGGAAGCGGGAAGCTGTGGCCATCCAATGCAACTCCCATCCTTCCTGATCAATGGTCACTAGTATCTAGTGGGTCACAGGTTCCCCATATGTTTTAAAGCAAAACAGACCATTACACAGAACAGCCATTAATGAGTAATTTAGGCTACGACCTGCTGTTTAAATAAATTTCTAGTCATGACTAGAAAGACACATAAGAGAAAGATTTAGAAAAATATAATGTTCCCTAATGGCATTGGTAGAAATGTGAAGAGTCAGCAAGGTATAAGTATTTTCATCACAGATGAGATGCACTAACCTAACAAGGTTATATTCTGCTACCAAAAGGCACTATTACACATTTACTTTCTCAGTTTAAAAGGAAACCATAGATACAAAATATTCTAAATGGAATGTTAGGTAGGAAAAGGAATATGGGAAACTCAGTTCATGGTTCTTACAACAAAGGAGGACTCAATTAGGAAGTCACATAATCTAAGTTACACTTAGGATATAGTCTGCTAGGAGACAAACAGCAGGAAATGGGGTTGCCAGGTTCTAGTCTGAGAGCATGCCCATCAATGAATAGCTGGATTCAAACAATCTAGCTATAGTTCAACCCTCCTCAACCTGGTGCCCTCCACTTGATGACTACAACTTCAAAAAGCCCAAGGCAGCATGGCTAATGCTTAGGGACTATGTAAACTGTAAACCCCAACATCTGGAAGGTACCAGGTTGGGTAAAACAGGTTAACTTTACAGCAGCCATGCTGCATCAGATCAAAAGTCCATTTAGTCCTGCATCCTGTTCTAACAGTGGCCAACCAGATGTCTCTGGGGAACTTGCAAGCACAACCTGAGTGCTCCATCTCTCCCCCATTTGTTCTTTCCAGCAACTGGTAAGCAGAGGCATACTGCCACTGACAGTGGAGGCCAAACACAGCTTTATTCTACATGCATTTGTCTAATCTTCTTTTAAAGTCATCAAGTTGGTGTCCATCAATGTATCTTGTGGAAGCAAATACCAGTTTAACTCTGCACTGTGTGGCAAAGTATTTTCTTTTGTTTATCCTTAGTCTTCCAACTTTCAGCTTTACTGGATAGTCCCAGGTTCTACTAGTATAAGGGAGGAAGAGGAAGAGGAGGATGAACAAGCCACGGCAAGTAAAAGACTTGCATGCTCCCATTTTCCTCTGCTCCACAGACAAATAAACAAGAATTCTGTATTGGGTATGAACTTGGAACTATAGTTAGTTCTAACCCATTAGTTAACAAATCAAGTTATCCATGGCTTGATGTACTAGTTTGTTTTAGCTTGGTTTGGAGTCTAGAATACAGCAAGGGGGCAAACCCCTAGGCCACTGTGGCAAGCTGGGTACTGGGCTAGATGGACCCTTGGTTTGATCCAACACAGTTCTCTTAAAACATGTTTCATCCTGAGTGTTCCCAACCACTGTGGTTAACCAGCAGGATTTATCTCACACAACTTAAAGTGATAGGCAGTCTCTGTTTTAGAACAACACAATCCCAGGAGAGCCCAGAAGTAAAGAGAGGTAAGTATGCTGAAAAAAAATTAGAAGTTGCCATACAGCTGTCTAAATGAAGACATAATATTGCAAGCTACTTATCTGCACAAACCATGCATCATTGGTAAGGAAAGAGAAAAGAAGGCCCAAATGGAAAACTGGCAGGTAAATTTGTTCTGTGGACTTTGGCAAACCTTTCTAACTATTGTTAAAACTGTGAAATGATTCAATATTTAGGTGTTTAAGTGCTGCATTGTCACTTGGAATATGGCTGTATTGCATTAAGAGTCCATTTAAAATAGATCCACAAACTCTGCCATTTACATTCATAATACTGCAAACGTATTAAATGACTTGGGATTGGGACCGAGGAAGTATTAGACATTGCTATTTTAATGTGGCTGTAAGGCCCGGAAAATGGCTTAGTTTACACAAGGCATCTTAGGGAAGAAAAGTGGGAGCCAAATTAATTCCTGAGTTAGTCCACCTGCAACATGACAACTGGCAATGCAGTCAACACAACCATCTCTACAAGTGCCAGAAATAGCAACTATCCTCTAGCACTTAGCAATGATGGTACTTACCCATCTCAAAGCTTGTATCACCCCCTTCCTTTGACCCTGGAAGGCCACTGGTTTAAATAAACTCTTGGCCCAGTACACAAGCAAGGTCTCAATTCATAATCATCAACAGAGGCCATTCAAGCCAAAGTCTCTGTAGTGCATTTAAACAGCATGTTCTTTAAAAACTGTATCAGTTATACAAGCTTAAAATCAATAGTTCAGAATATATGCATTAGTTCTATACATAGTCTACAACCATTTAGTAAAAACTGTCACCTTAGTAAGCCAGTTGTTCCACTGATAAGTAGTATGGAAGAAACTGAAAAGAACTGAAAATGATACCAAATTGATTTTGTTATTAAATACAGGGTTTCCCAAACTTGGGTCTCCAGCTGATTACAACTCCCATCATCCCTAGCTAACAGGACCAGTGGTCAGAGATGATAGGAACTGTACTTCCCCAAACAGCTGGAGATCCAAGTTTGGGAAACCCTGAATAAAGTATTGTTTTCAGCTGTTTCAGGACACCTTGCATTTGCAAGGCAGAAGCACAAAGTTTGTATATATAAAAAATATTTATTCGGCATGGGATCTCAGCTCTCAGTGTTACATTCCATAACTATTACCAGAATGCTCTTTTTATTAAACTGGAGCTTTGAACCCTAGGACAAACTAGGCCCTTTTTGAATCGGGGCTAGCAATAAAATTGACTTTGGGAAAGAGTTCTCAGTAAGAGTTCCAAAATTTGCTCTTAATTGCTGGTTCCCACCTCTATGGGCCCACAACCTTGTGGCTGCAGTGTTGCAGACGGCATGCTCCCCTGTCCTTCTCCACACTGCTACGGAAGCATTCAAGGCACCAGGATTGGGGGGGGGGCAGTCCTTCTTGCTACAGCAGCAGCAGCCACCAAACTGGAAGTTCTTCTCTAGCATTATACTCTAAGCTTTGGGGGGTGGGGTGGGGTGGGGTAGAGGGAGGACAAGGAACAGTTCATATGCTTGCCTGCGTACTGAAGTAAAAATATTACTGTTGCTGAGTATCCATGGATGAGCTGGAATAACCCCATTTAAATCAGTTCTGCTTTCATTACCAGAGCCTTACTTACTATACTACACTTCTCAAAGTATCTGTAGGAGACATGTAGTCTCAACATGCAGCCTACACATATATTGAAACCAGTAGGTGGAGATGTTTCTTTTTTTAAAGGGGAAAAGCAAAGTTTAATTCTCCCTCTCTGTTCCTACTCAGCCTAACAAAAACAAAACCACATACAATTTTAAAAAGAAGTTTGGAATATTATTTTGCCTAATTTTGTACAGACTCATTGTCCTCATAGAAGGCTTGTGCTATTTGTTGCTTCCATATCCAATTGTGAACTGTTTCAGACAGATCATTATACAACAAATAAAGAAGCTGGCTTTGTGAAGCGTCGCTAGGATATTTCCTTTTGCAATTGTAATTCTTTTATTTTTAACGTGCAAAATTCAAGCACAGGAAAATTCAGATATACACTGAGTATTTGGTTTTGTGAAGAGAATATGCAAGTCAGACTCCCCTGTCCATCATCTGAAACATTCTTTCTGCATAACTTTGAAGGCTAATAGGCAATATTCAACTTTTTAAAAAGTCAATTGATTTCAATGGGTCTACTCTGAGTAGAATTTAGTTGTATCTTCTGTTTTTATTTGTATATTCAGGTTTCTAACAGCTAGCAAGACTGAAGTGTTTTAAAATAAATATGTGGTTTTATCTAGAAAGGAAAAAAGGGAATTATAGATTCAGCAATGCAAAATTTCAGCGATCACATAATATTTAATTAGAATACTGGTGTCTTTTTTCTTTTTGTTGTTGTTGTTAGGAACATAGGTCTGATGTTTTAAGAATATAGGGAGAAATCACAGAAAGTTACTTGATTACGATTCCTAAAAGATATCATCTTCTGACACTCAAAAATACTCTGGAATGCTCTTCATAATGTACAGTTTTGCCCCTTTTAACTATAACACTTTTTTCACTTTTGCTGGACCTCTGAGAGTTTTTTAATATTTTACCTCTCAACACACATTTATCTCTTACTTTGGTATACAAAAACCCAACATTTAGTACTGCACTTAATCCCACAAACATTTTGCATTAAAACAGAAATGCTAACATATAAAACGTCTAATGATTTTCAAAAAGGTTGAAAAATAATTTGGCTGACGATAAAAGCGTAAAGGAATCCTGAGATATAAGACTAAGACACACACACACACACAGAGATATAAATATTTCTCCAAGGACCTCTATCTCTACTTCTGTGTATCTGACCAAATAAAATTCATCATTTGTTCACACAGAGAAATAAACAAACATGAATATTCCAACTGAACACACACAAAATAGTCCACTGTTTAGTATTAATTTAGCTTTTGGAGTCTCTTCCAGCATTTGTAGACACATAGTCTCTTCTTCCCCCTTATCTCTGACTGGACTGTTCATGTTTTTGCTTTTAAAGCCACAGAACCAATCTATGAATTTCCAGTGTCTGTCACTACTTTCAGTCTCTTCACCAGTCTTCTCTTTACCCATAAGAGCTGCCTGTCCATTAGAATAACTATCAACTGGAGTCTCAACTTCAGAGTTGCTTAAAGATATCACTGGATTGCTCTCATCTCTGCAAGTAATTAAGAGATTAACATTTTCAGGCTGATCATTTTTAATATTTTCTTCAGATTTCCCATTTGAAGTGATATGATTTGAAGTGTCGCTGTATTTTAAGACGGTCTTCCCTTGTGCTTTGAACGAACTGCCTGCTGAAGCGCTTTCCTTTACGGTCCTGTTTCTCTTAGACCAAAACGTTGTCGTCCGAATTTGTTCTTTTGAGGGTGGTGGTGTAAGCAAGCTTACTACTATAGCAGTAATTCCAGTGATCCAAAACAGTGCGGTAGCAACATACATGTAATGGATACTTTTGATAAAGTATGGTCTTGTGTCTGGCTGGTCACACTCAGGAACACGATAGATAAATGCCAGTATAAGTCGTACAGCTCCCAAGGCAAATCCAACCATTCCACCAAAGAAGACCCCCTGCTCATTGCAACGTTTCCAAAATACACCCAAGAGAAAAATAGCAGCCACTGGTGGAGTCAGATAGTCTGCTACCTCTTGTATATAGAGATACATCTGACCTCCTTGCATTTCCACTATAATTGGGACCCAGGCAATGCTTATTGCCACCATGAAAGCAACGAAAACTCTTCCAACAATCATCAGTTCTCTAGATGATGCATTCTTCCGTATGAGGAGCTTGTAGATATCAAGTGTGAATATGGTACTGGCACTATTAAAGATAGAATCCAAATCACTCATCAGTGCAGCAATCATTACAGCCATCATGAGGCCTCGCAGGCCAACAGGAACAAGTTTCATTACCAAACGTGGATAGGCAATGTTAGAACACCCAGCTCTGCTTCCACAAACTTGCATACAATGCTCTGGATTGATACACGCAATATCATCTGCAAACAGTATTCGTGAAATCATACCTGGAATAACTATAAGGAACATAGGCAGAAGCTTTAAGAAACCTGCCATTAGGGTGGATCCTTTGGCATGAGCAATGTTTTTTGCTGCTAAAACCCTCTGAACGATGACTTGGTCGGCACACCAGTACCAAACAGAAGCTGGCGTCTGTCCAAAAAGGAAACCAGGCCACGGAACATCTTCATCTGTTGGTTCACGTAACATTCTCAGCGAATCAGGCTTTGGATCAACATGACAGGAATTCGTATTGGAAAGGTTGTAAGTCAACAAGATCGATGTAACATTTGGTTTTGCCAACATGTACTTTCTTTTCAGCTCTTCAAATCCACCAACTTCTACCATGCTTATAATCATAAGGGTGAGGGCACCAATAATCATAAGCAAAGCTTGAATAGTGTCTGTGTAGATAACTGCCACAAGACCCCCAGTCACAGTCAGCAGTGCAGTCATTCCAATCAGCAGTATTACCGACAAATAAATATTCCAGCCTAGTGATTCTTGAATAAACAATGCACCTGAATACAAATCCACTGAAAGTTTGGTGAAGATATACAGAATTAGAGACAACATGGCAAAGTATACTTGAATTCTATGCCCTCCAAAACGTTTGGATAAGTATCCAGGCATGGTGTATATTCCAGAATGTATGTAAACCGGAACAAAGATCCATCCTAAGAGTTGCAAAAGCATTAAGGCATTGAGTTCCCATGCTCCCACGGCAAATCCGCTTGCTGCTCCAGATCCTGCAAGCCCAATGAAGTGTTCACTCCCAATGTTGCTCACAAACAAGGAAGCACCAATTGCCATCCATGTCATAGATCGCCCTGCCAGGAAGTACCCACTTATAGTGCTCCGATTGTATTTCCACATGGCAAAAAAGCCTATGCACAGCACAAGCACAAAATACAGTGCCACAATGGCAATGTCTGCTGGTTCCAAAACCGCCCTCATTTCTGTAAACAAAGGAGCTTCCAAAAGCTGATGTCCAGGTCACAGACCTCAAGCCTTAGTAAAACAAATCTTTAGTTTTACAAATACTGTGGATCAAATTCTTTGTCCATTGGTTTGCTATCTTGATGGTAGTGGTTGTGGTACAACTTTGAGAAGAAAAAATTGTTTTCTGCGCTTCTGAAATATTTAGCACGCACTTTTATTCACCAATCCACAAGAGCATCACCATTAACTTGGTTGATGTAGGAGAAATTCTTAGTTGCAGCTAAGTCTAGTGAGGCCTACAGTACCAACCCTGCAAGGTAGCAAAGACAAAAGACAGAGATTGAATTAGAAAAGGCTTTTACCAAGTATCAGGAAAAAAATTGAATTTTGTCATAACAAGTAGTTGAATAGAGCTTTTCTTCCCTTGTAAATGTTATGAAGAATTCTGCATCTCAGGCATGAAATTTCTTTCATAGACTGTAAACAGAGTTCACTAATAAACTAACAGAATGTGTATTGTTTTCTTGGAACAAGATGGCAGATTTGCAGCAGTATAAAAATATGTATCTTTCTGGCCAGAGAAATTTTTATATTCAAAATGATACATCAACACCACACAGACACTATCAGACTTTATTCAGGATATACATGATCACATCACATTTACAATTCATCTAAATTTATCATTGATTTTCAAACTGATTCTGTGTACAGCCAATGTCACTGAATAGTGCTGTAGCAGTAGATTACATATATAATACACCACTGACACAACTGCAGCAAAAATTTAACTGAGTGGCACACTGCACACTATGTTCCTTCACCGTACATTGCCCTCTCCAATTGCCAAGTCCACTACACTTCCCCAGATCAGAGAAATGTAGTGTTATGGCACCTACATGCACATACCATCTCTCTGAATGCAGTATTATTACAGACTTATTTTAAAGTCTAGAATGAAAAACCATGTATCCTCTCACGCACATCATAGCACTGTGCTACATTTTCCCAACCATAACGATGACAGCAGTTGGGAATGTACAATAGGAAGTAGGTAACAACCTAGGAGTGTTGAGGAGGAACTAGGACGGGGGAGCCTAGACAATCCAGCATGTAAATGTCCATAATTTATAAGACATGGATGAATAATCTATGGCACAGGCAGTAGGGGTTTATAGTGCAACTGGAGCAGTGTTCAAAATTAGCCAGGCACCAGGGGCATTTTGCACCTGGCTATTGGCCACTTGCGACCAAGTGAAGATGGCCTGACATCTTCACATTCTGGAGGTGCACGCCTGGGGATCCTTGGATCTGGACTGTTTTTACACACTAATGCCCCACCCTGCAGAATTCCATCAGTTATATTTTATCTGTACAACAGGAATGAATTTCTGGAATCAAAATGCTTTTTCTTTGCAGCCTGAGCAGGAGCAGCGAACATTATAGCTAATTGTTGTCGCTTGTCTTCACTTACCCCACTGCCCTGCTCACAGTTGTGAAGAATATTCTTACATTATGAATAGTCCGTGTCACCATTAAGAAAGAGAGGTTGGAATGGACCAATATATATGTGGACTGTCCCTGGATCAAGGAACTTTCTTCTTTGAGTTCTACAAGCTCTTAACCTAGCTCAAGGTTGTCATCTGAACTAGCCAGATGTTTAACTGAGAATCAATCACAGTCAGTCCATCATTTGAAAAATAAAGACTTTAGAGCCGTCTTGCCCCAAAATGGCAGCTAGACATTCTGTTTTGGCACCTGTAACCTCAGCTTAAGGTGCCATTTGGTGCCTGGTTTATATATCTGAGTTTCTAACACTGAAATGAAGTACGAAGACTGATGTTCTATGACATAAAATAGGTCTACACCACCACCTGACTCTCCAGTGCTGCCCTTGATACACTAGAGGCAAAAATCACATCATAACCCAACACTGCATAGATATTGCAATGTACTGTACAATTACACAGTCTTTTACTTTGGGTTTGACTTGTGTAACATGTTCAAAAAGACTGTAAAGTAATGGGGCAGGGGAAGGCAAGAACATGGAAGGCCTGACAAAAATTAATTTTAGCATGGAAACCTAAGATGGACTAGATCATGTTCTGTGCCATTGCAGTCCCACCTTCTGTGGTTTAATTACTTTCTACAGAACTTGACACAATATACCTGCCCTTCTTCTGTCTTTGTAAGTGCCCCCCATGTGTCTATCTAACTCTGTTCCATAAGTTATCTCTGTACATTTGCAGAAAGTGTTGTTGTTTTTTTTTTGGGGGGGGGGGTTCTGTGCATCAATCTATAAAATCAACAGAGCTTTGATCTTTGTTTCCTTTTTATAAGCCCCATTTTGTTTCCTTAAAAGCTGAAAAGGCCCCCCATTTTTCTAGCAACAGGAAACTGTGGGGAAAAGGAAAATATTCATAAACAAGGTAAGTCATTAACAAGTTCCAAGAACATAGGGAATGAGGAAATCAAAGGCGGGGGAGTGGGTGTAAGTAAACACACAGGAAAGAAGCAAGAATAGCAGGATACAAGCAGATGTGAACTCAAACGTACAAAACTAAAATGCTCCATGTTAGATGACTGGTGTGCATGGTTCACATAACCATACATTGAAACAGATTGCCCATATAAACCTATAAAACTTAAGTTTACCAAAATTCAATACACGCCAGCGTAAGCCTTGTTATTGGCTTAGAGTAGGCATAAGCAAACTCCGGTCCTCCAGATGTTTTGGAACTACAATTCCCATCATCGCTAGCTAACAGGACCAGTGGTCAGGGATGATGGGAATTGTAGTCTCAAAAACATCTGGAGAGCTGGAGTTTGCCTATTCCTGGCTTGGAGATTTGCAAAACCAATATAATAAAGATGTCTACAATAGGAAGGTGAAATATTAAGGGACACTGAAGAATATTAATATTCTGATCCAATGGCGCCCATTAGGAGCAACTAGACCCCATTCTGAACAGCCAACTATCAACGTTTTGGCTTTTTGTTTTTGGTTTTTGTTTTAGAGAGGTCTCTGCAGATGAAGCCACAGTTGGGCACAACAGAGATCATCCTCAATGATCCCTTTCAAACCCTTTCCAATCAGCCAAACTAAAATCTTCTAGTACACAAAAAACAAACTCTACTCAAAAGTGCTGTTTAACGCTGCTAAATAAAAATGTCATTCCTTCATTAGCCTTGGATAAAATAGAGTGGCAAAGTTTTGTGTTACAAATAGTTTATTGTACATCTTGTACGCTATACTATAATCAGTTTATCTGTTAACTGGGTTCTTAACAATGCAAATTGACTGCTATCTCTGCATTCAAAATGGTGCATTTTGTTCTTCTTGCCTGTAACCCTTTCATTTGTTTGTTGTCAGATGTTCAGCCGTTACACAAGCCCTCTCCAATCTAGTACCCTCTAGATGTTGTTGGACCATTTGCTACAACTCCCTACAAATACTTGACCATTTGTCATGCTGGCTGGGGCTGATGAAAGCTTAAGTCCATCAAAACCTGGACAGCACCAAGTTCCAATTAGAGTAAGTTTCAGACTTAGATCTGCATTCTTCACAAGAGTTCCAGCAACCAACAGACACTAGATCATCTACACAGAAACTGGTCAGTGATCCACTATGATCTACTTTCTGCCACTCTTGCCTTATACTGTACATATGACTAATTTTCTCATATGATCACATCCTTCTACTCAAAATAAGAGGTGATCCACATGACAGAAGCTACTTTAAATAAATATTTACCTGTGCTAATAAACTGTTTATACAGCCCTAATGGCATCAAGTGAATTGTTGTTATCAAACGTTCAACAGTAACAGGAACTATAATTCTTCAATATTAGTGCTAGTACTAAATGAGAACATTTTTCATTGCTATTATTACAGAACTAACTACAATGAAATGCAAGCACCCAACAGTAACGGATCAGCAATATCAGATCCTTTAGGCCACCTTTGTATTCATCCTTTTATGCCCAATATTTCTAGCTCACCTTTCTGCAAAATGAGAAAGGCAGGTTACAAGTAACTCATTATAAACATTTTAATTCTGTAAGAACAAAGTAATGCAAAAACTACAACTAAGAACAAAGACTAAAAGCAACAGCATCCTTAGATTGTTTTAACAAGTTTTCAGAACAAGTTCATATAATTCAAGCACAATACAGACCCCTAGCAAACAGGATGGCAGCAGGTCCATGTCTTTAAAGGTGTATATGTAGAGCAGAAAAAAAATGAAACTGCCAAACAATTGTGTGGGTGGGAATTGCTGAAATCTACCCTCGCACATCCTGCCCTACTTGTAGTCCTTATCTCAAGAACTACACGAGTGAAACAGACTCAAATTTAAAGGCACAGGTCTGCTGCCAATCACATTTGGGCCTCCAAACCCTACAGTCACAACAAATGAAGAGATGGGCATTTGAGGCTCTCAGCCTAATTTCATGCAGGTGAGGGAGAGAAGGCATATAGGGCGGGAAGACACAAGGAAAGTCCAAACAGATGAAGTGACAATAATGTGAGGGAATGGGATCCTGCTACAACCTATCAATTCACACCTCTGGAGTCTGACCTTCTCAACAGAGCTGACAGTGCAGGAAGAAGAGAAAAGGAGAGAATGAGGTATCCCTACTCACTGCTGAGTACTCACCACCCCTGCCTTACAGGGTTACTACTACATGGCTAGATGGAATGTAGTTGGACATTCATCTGCTCATCTCGAATCAAACACTAGGTAAGCAAGCATGGCAAATCACATGTCTGACATGGTCCAACTGCAAAGCACCTTTACAGGCAATAAAATATTTGTCAATTTTTAAAGCAATCAATTAATGGAAGGACTCAAAGCAACCAATAGATAATAGTGGGCACCCCTAAAATACAAAGAGGTCTATACTAGCCTTGCCAAATGCAACTAAGAAAATACTCCGCCCCCTTTTTTAATAGAAAAGTATAATTGTGTCTTGGAAAAAACAAACAAGGTGAATAAAGACAAGTCCATTTCCCCAGATTACTTCTCACGGAGACTGAGGAATTACAGCATGTACTCATAATGCTAAGAGGTAAAGCAAAATGTTTTGTGTTCTTCCTCCACTCTTGTTCCTTTCTTTCATGCATTTAATGTCTTTTCCTTTCTTCTTTTTTGTTTCCTTTATTAACTTGCACCTCTGTAACAAAGCCTGCCTAACACACTGTCCACTACACCTCTACATGTGCTCTTCCACTAAAATGAGAAACCAAAATATACTTGAATTTTTTGTAAAAAGTAGCTGCTATATTGTATTACTATATTGTGAAAACTGATAATGATTAAAAAGGAAAAGAGTTCAAAAATCCCAAAATAAATTTAAGTATTTATTTGCTTAACTTTATATTGAAAATCAGAGTTAATTTAACTATAGATATAGAATATTTGCTCAAAGTTGATGAGTTAACAAGTTGAGCAGAGTGAACCAGATTTTTATGAATGAGGTCAAATGAAAAGCCTCCTCTTCTAGGAAGACAGCTTTAGCAATAAGCATATCTTATCACCCTCTCCTGGTGAATGTACAGAGCAGCAATTAAGACATACACCTCAAACCTACTAAACAGAATTTTTATATAGAAGTGACTTCCAATGAAATGGGCTCTTACTCCCAACATCAAAATAGGTTCAGAAGTGAAAAATTAAGCGTATGAGCATAAGGCAGCCAACTCTCTATGCTGCATTTCCATATTCTATGTAGCTAGCAAATACTGTGAACATTTGGGATTTACAACACAGATTTACTGCAAAAAGAGTAGGTTTCATAGCCTTTTAAAGTTCAGGGTACACTTTACACCCAACATGAATCAAAGGGCCCACTTAAAATACTTGCTTCTTTTTCATCCTTTCTCTCTTAAGAAAAATAAGATTGCACTGCTGGTTGGAACAGAACCAACTCATTACTACAGGGTAACTAATGTGGTGCTTCCATCAACCCTGACCATGCACAGAACCCCAAACGTGCTACTCTGAAGCTGCTGCCATGTGTCCTTATACATCTCTAGTTAAGATTATCCTAACACTGATCCAAAGGTTCCCATGCACTTTTGGCTCAGAAGGCTGGTTACCGCAGATTGTTTAGACAGTTTCTGTCCTCACGCTCTCTGAAAGGTATTTTAGAAAGTTGCTCTAACATCTGAGAATGAGAAACAAGATTCAGTCTACAACTGAGCATCTCTCTGTACTTAAGAGGAACATCAGGGGTTCACAAAAGCCACAGTATTCAAGACCGTATCTCAAACTTAGGTGTTTGTTTTTCAATATGCAATCTGTGAAGTTCTATGCTAAAATATTGAAGTCAGACCTAAAACAAATGGAAATAACTGGGCACCCACACTCTCCAGTAAATTCAAAAAATAGGAATACACACAATTTTTCAAATAAACCGAGATCCAAATCAAACCTGGCAATTACGTTCAAGAAGTGTGTGCACAGAACGCAGACTTCATCTTCTAATCTGTACAGCTAACTTTTACTAAGTGATAATCTATGTAAGCAAAGCTACAAGTTGCTGTATTCAGGCTAAAATTCTATACAAACTTATTCAAGAATGTAAATATCACTGAAATCAGTAGGATTCACTTCTGAGCATGCATGCATGCATAGGTTTGCACTGGCAGGTAATTGTTAGAACCTATTGCACAATAATCCCTGTTTTTGTGAATTGATTAAACTGAGAAAATGGGCAGGAACTTACTTGTCACATTTGTACTCTAGTCTACATTTTTTGCGGAATATTATGTCACACACCTAGAGATAGTTTTCATCTGCCTAGACATCTGTCTTATACAGTGTCAGACCACTAGTCCAGTCTTATCTCAGTCCCTGCAGTCTTTCAAGCAGGCAATTTTCTTAGCTGGAGCTGCTGGGGATTAAACCTGGGACGTTCAGCATGAAAAGCAGGGGCTCCGAGGCTGTTACAAGCCAGGGGTACCAACTTGAATAAAATATGGGGGGGGGGGGTAAGCCCTGCCCCACATAATTGATCACATGATGCGGTGCACCGCACAGTGTTTGAATGACAATGCCTATCGACTTGTGGGGGCTGCCCCTCAAAATTATTTTAAGGGGCACATGAAGGGACCTCGGCCCCAAGGAGTTGGCTTCTATGTAATGGGCCCTCTACTGGGGCTATTACAGCCAGCAGCACCGACCAGCAGCTTTTTAGCAGACCACCAATTACACTCGCTTATTTAACAAGAAACCAACCCAGCAAGCGGTCTACTCTACTGTACAACGCCGCCAGCATCCCGGAAGCTCAGCGAGTTACGATGGCGGCAAATATTCAAAACAAGTTCTTCGCTATAGGCAGCCCCGGTACAGATGTACGGAATTAATTCATGCTTCCGTACATACTGGAAATTTAAGAGGGGAAGGGAATTGTAAACGACGCCCGGCAATAATGCACCCAGGCAACTAGTAGAGCCCCTGCTCCAAATGCGCGAAAATGAACCGGGGTGTTTGGGCAGCGACCACAAAACGTTGCCAAGGAACGACACGAGGCCGCCGCGCCACGTCTGTGTGAAAAAGGAAAACCTCGCATGTGGCTCGCTAGACCCAATGCAGCCCGTGCTTCCTGAACACCCGCCCCCTCGAAGATTTTGCCTTTTAAAACTAGAGCAACCAATTCTATTGACACTTTCTCTCCCCTGCCCCCTTTTTTATTTTTTGTTCGCGAGTGGAAGTACACGTGCGCTGGGGGTCGGGGAGAGCAAAGCGTTGTAGCGTAAGGGGGCAAGCGCCAACCCCACGTTTTCCTTAAGGGAGCCCTTGTTCCCCTAGCACCACCACAGCGCCCGAGCACGTGTGAAAAGGGAACGGAGTGGAAGAAGCGTGTTCTTTCCGCGCCGAGGGGACGAGAGGAAGGGCGGACGCACAGGGCTGGCGGAAGGGGAAGGGGAGGCCCGGCCGGGAAATGGAAGCCGGGCAGGCGCGGGAAGCTCAGAGAGCAGCTGCGACTGAGGGACGCGAGAAGGGCAGCGAGGAAGGGCGAGGGCGCAGCGCCCCTGCTACGGACACACACAGAGATACTCACCCTCTGCATGGCTTTTAGGATCAAAGCCAGCTCATAGCGAGGCATCTTTTGCAGAAGAGGTGGTGAAGTAGGTGGGGCGGCTGGCGGAAGGGGCAAAGCAGAGCGCCGGCGTGATGCTGTGCAAGCGCCGCTCAGACACGCCGCTGGTCCCGCGTTGTGCCGACTAGGAGGCGCGAGGCGCGCGGGGCGCTTTTAAAAGGGGCCGTCTGCGCGCGCTCCCGCGGCGGCGGCGCCGCCCCCCTTCGATGGCGTCAGGCGCCCCCTCCCTCGCCGCTCCGCTCTTCCCGGGCTGAGTGAATGGGGCTCCTTCGGACACGGAGCGCTCCCAATTGCGCCGGGAAGAAGGCAGGGCGGCGCTTTTATCCTAAGCGAGAGAGTCCTGAAGGTCGAGCTGAATGAAGCGCGCTCGGCGACCTCCAGGCGCCGCCTCCCTCGCCATCCCTGCAGCGCCGCCGGTCCCGCCCTTCCCCCCGTAGCCGCGGCTGCTACTGCAGGGAGTGGAAATTTCCACTCGGTCCCGCCTCCCTTCCTCGTGCGCTCCTCTCCCCCCTTGAGGGGAAGTCAGCGGCAAAGCTCTGGCCCTACACGTGAAAGCCGCCTCTGCGACGTAACACCGTATATCCCACACCACACCCCCATTGCCGGTTGCTTGCAAGCCGTTCTCGAAACATCCACGAGACGCGGACGTGGGTTGGAGCGGCGCTCCTACACGCCTCGCTGGCGTTCCCGAAGCTTCCAGAAACACCTGTCGCTTACGCGGGTTTTCGGCCTGAAATCCCCGTCAGGAAGGAAAGGGAAATTTCCGCACACGCAAACGGCAACAGCGCTTGAGACAATTCCCACGATAAGTGGCTACACGAGCGCACGCAGGTGCTTCGGTGTTGCAGGAACGTCAGCACAACTTGGTTCCTCCAGTGCATCCGCCAGCCCAGTATTTCTGTAGTGTCAAACTAGGGAGGGGAAAGGGAATTGCCTGCACACACACGTACACGTAGCAGGAGTCTCTGTCACAAGGGAAGTTCATGTATATTCCTGAACTCTAAAGTTTATATGCCCTGATCCCCAGAATAAACATTGGGCCACCCCGTATATGTACATGATCAGTTAAAGTTACTCAGTCAAAATGATGCTTTCAAAATGCTCATCAATACATGATTGTAGAACACCATAAAATAAGTAAGTGGGGGTGCCCACCCCAAAACATGCTTTAGGCAAGCACAAGCCAATGGATCATCCTCTCCAAGGTGCCAATGGATCCTGCTGAGCCCTGAGCTTCTTGTGGACACAGGGGACAGTCAAATGTATCAAAGCAAGGCAACAGTCACCAGTATATAAATATAATAAGTACGGTAACTGAAGGTGCCCACCCCAAACATATGCTTTGGGACAGCACTAGCCACACACTTAAGCAAATGGGAAAGTGTCATCTACTATAAGATGCCAATGGATGCTGCTCAGCACAGAGCTTCCTATGGTGCATACCATGGACAAGGGCACCTAGGCACACCAACAATAGCTAAAGTATATTGGATGGGGGGCATAAGTAACTGGCAGTATCCATCACAAAATATGCTTTGGGCAAGCACAACTCATACACAAAAGCAGACAGGAAACTCTCCTCTAAGAGACACTTGTGGGTCCTGCTCAGCCCAGAGCTTTCTGTGGGCACATAATGGCAGAGTTAAGGATGTTGAAGCAAACCAGCAATCGCCGATATACATTAAAAAAAAAAGAAACTCTGGGTGTCCACCCCAAAATATGCTTTGAGACAGCATACACTCCAGAAATGGGAGAGTGCCTTCCAGCCCAGAGTTTAGTGTGAGCACATGCTACAAACAAAGGCATCTGTGCACACCAATTATAGCCAGAATATGTACCCCCAAAAAGGAGCTGGAGGTGCCCACCTCAAAATATGCTTTGGGCAAGCACAAATATATCCAAACAAACTGAAGTGTCTTTTACGAGATGGCAATGGATGCCACCCAACTCAGAGCTTTCTGCAGGCATATCACCATTTGCCTTCTGATACTACCTTCCTCTCTTCAGCCAAATATTCCAGTTCACAACATCCTTCCCTGCCCCATCTTTCCCTAATTATACTGCATTATAACATTTCATGTGTGCTTGTAGAACTGGTAGCTTGCCTGCTTAGCTTTAAATTCATAAAATTAGCCTATTAGCATAAAATTATGCTATTTATTAAGGTTTATGTCAATTAACATTTGTTCAGATATAAGTATGTGAACTCCCTCATCTTCATATGGTAAAATGTACTTCTGATTTATCTTTGTTGTTCTAGTTAACCATTTGTTTCCCAAAAGTCTGGGGTGTATTCAAGTCTCAATGTATTAAGTCTCAAGTCTTGTTCAAGTCTCAAGGGTATAAATGCATACCAGAAATATTTCCGCAACATCTTCAAGGAAACCTCAAAGTTCCAAAATATTACTGTGGTGTTAAGTGGTGGTCAAGGAGAAGGGCTATGGAAAATAAAGTTAGTTTCCATAGTTGTTACTTAAGTTAATGTCCAGGCATGACACAATGATTGCAGTTTCTGTACAGTGATAGACACTTTGCCAAGAGAAGACCCAAAGGAACCCATAAATACTGCTACCAAAAGTAGAGAGAGAACTTAGCTATTGTGGCTAGTACCCATTGTTAGCCTTTTCCTCCATGAAATTGTATACTCTTCTTTTTAAACCACTTTTAAAATTGTCTCAACATAAACAACCAGTCCTACAATCTCTTTAAAAGACCTGATTAACTTTGATGTTGTGAGATGGTGTGATGAAGCTCAATTTATAATGTAAGGTCTCTCTTGAGATTTTTCTTTGGAATTGTCCCCAAAACAACACTGGGTTGGCATTGATCAGGTTATTTCTCCTTGGAAACTGAACAAGATAGACAGTGAAATCCCAAGTTAACTCCATATTTGACCATCACCATTTACGGTGTGGTGTTTTAGAGCTTGACTTTATGCCCACCTTTACATTTTATCTGGCTTTTTTCTGCTATTCTGCTTGTAATACTCACTAACCAGGGCCTCCTGTCATACAGTTAGGCTAGTTTCCAGGGAGACAAAGCAGAGGGGATTTTGATCTTTTGCACACTTATTCAGTTTTCTAGGTGTTTTCCTTAGACACGTACCAGTGCACGATTTCCCATGAGATTAAATTAAAAGCAAATGTTAAAAACTGTACATGCCTGGTGAGGATGGCAGTAACGCATGGATGAACCAACATTCTCAAACATTTCTTATTCTGTGTGTATTCTAATCCTTTAATGACAATTTCATAAAACTAATCTTTCTCTTTAGACAGCATGGGTCACATATATAGCAGATCCCAGCAGGAGCTCCTGAAAAACTAGCTGCTTAGCATCCTGTTTTGCTATAGGCCATTTTCCCAGCAAGGCATAAGACAGAACTGAAGTCAAGTGTTGTGGTTGCTAAGCAATCCCCAGGTGGTTAGGGATTAACAGCTCCCTTCTCTCTTTGTAACCCACCTGTAGTACAATCTCTGTGCTTCAGTCCACCTGCATGAAACACTTTACAGTGTTTAACAGATGAAAATGGCCATAATGTCTCTGTACCAACTTCATCAAATCTGATGCTGAAGAAACCAAGTTTTTACACTTAAAAGTAATCCATGATGATAAAAAAAAAACCCTACATGTTTACAGCTCCTTATTTTGCTTAAAGTTGCTCAACTGGAGTTTTATGGAGTCTGGATTGTTTTGACAGGGAGGCATGTGATAGCAAAATGTTAGTTTTTAGGAGTGCATGACTAGGAGACCTTCATACACAAGGCCAACCCAAAACATTTGGCAAAGTATCGAAATAGCACTCCATAGGTGCACAATCTACCTAGAAATTCTCCTGTGCACATTCCATTAGATCATGTGCAGCTCCAGTTCACTGCAGTGGAGCTTACACAAGAGAGTCTTCTGGTAAATCATAGAATCAGAATTATAGAGTTGGGAGGGACCACGAGGGTCACCTAGTCCAACCAGGGTCCATGGTTCAGATCTGACTGTCTCCCACTCTGCCATTCTTAGCAATGCTCCAAAATCTATCAGCCTAAGCAATTATCCTACCTTGCCTCATTGTAAATAAATCATTAGGCAGAGAAATGTCACTCTAAGAGCTCTACAATCACTTGCAGATGGTGCTGGTGTGCTTTCAAATTATACCTGCAAGTTTGAGGACTAGGAACATGGGTTTTTTTTAAAGAAATTGAAAGCTAGGATTATTATTAATTCTGTTTCAGAGCCACAATTTCACACTTAATGTGCACAGAATTTTAAAAGACAAAGTGAGCTTGAGTCTGCGAAAGCTCACACCATAATATTTGTCTTTGTCTTAAAAGGCACGACACAAAAAGGCAAGTGCAATATGGAAAACAAGCAAAGAAAGATACCAGTTCTTAAAGTTACCTTTAAAAATGAGCAGCTGCAACAGAAATAGTTCTGTTGGGCAGGGAGGACTGAGCTGGTCTTTCAGTAAAATTGATGGGGTGGCTGCTTCTCAACTCTGCCTCTGCTGCAGCCCAATCCAAGGACTGTTTCTAGAAGACAGTTGAGGGAGGCAGGGGCCTAATGGAGCTGGTCTGTCAGCCAAACTGATAGCACAGCTCTGCTTCCCACCTCCCCAGTATTGCAGCCTGATGGAATGGCACCTGGCTTTATGGCCTAGTCAAGTATTTTTCTCTCCACATGAGGAAGCAGTAAGCTGCTGAGCTCACCCTACCCCCATGCTCTCCACGCATTGAGGGAAGTTCTGCAACTCACAGCCACAGTCTAGGGGCTACTCTCAGCTGCGCTTGCGCCGAATACCACCCACTAACTCTGCTGTAGATCTGGTAGGATTTGAGAGGTGGCTTTTGCAACAGGATTTTTAAAATATGGAATCAAAGTTTATAACTGGATATTATTGGGTATCACAATAAGAAACTTTACACGGTGGTGTTTAGACAAGAGGTTTTGGTTTGAATTTTTTGTTCCAGACCTCTATTAGTACATTATAATTAATTGCTGGTTTGTTGTTGTTTAGTTGTTCAGTCGTGTCCAACTCTTCATGGCCCCATGGACCAGAGCACGCCAGGCATTCCTGTCTTCCACTGCCTCCCACAGTTTCGTCAAACTCATGTTAGTAGCTTCAAGAACACTATCCAACCATCTTGTCCTCTGTAGTCCCCTTCTCCTTGTGCCCTCAATCTTTCCCAACATCAGGGTCTTTTCCAGGGAGTCTTCTCTTCTCATGAGGTGGCCAAAGTATTGGAGCCTCAGCTTCAGGATCTGTCCTTCCAGTGAGCGCTCAGGGCTGATTTCCTTAAGAAAGGATAGGTTTAATCTTCTTGCAGTCCATGGGACTCTCAAGAGTCTCCTTCAGCACCATAATTCAAAAGCATCAATTCTTTGGTGATCAGCCTTCTTTATGGTTCAGCTCTCACTTTAAAAAAAATTGCTGGTTAGGGATTATTTAAAACACACACACACATTTGGTTTAGCAAGTGGGGGATGCGGGTGGCGCTGTGGTCTAAACCACTGAGCCTCTTGAACTTGCCAATCAGAAGGTCGGCAGTTTAATCCCCGCGACGGGGTGAGCTCCTGTTGCTCTGTCCCAGCTCCTGCCAACCTAGCAGTTCGAAAGCACGCCAAAAATGCAAGTAGATAAATAGGTACCACTCCGGCGGGAAGGTAAACAGTGTTTCTGTGCGCTGCTCTGGTTTCGCCAGAAGCAGCTTAGTCATGCTGGCCACATGATCCGGAAAAACTGTCTGCGGTCAAATGCCGGCTCCCTCGGCCTGTAAAGCAAGATAAGCGCCGCAACCCCAGAGTCGTCTGCAACTGGACTTAACTGTCGGGGTCCTTTACCATTTTTTAAGTTGCTAAAAATAAGTTATTCATTATTATTTTTTATTTATTACATTTTTATCCTGTCTGGGACTCAAGGTGGTATAGATAGGGACTAGAATTCAATGTCATGTCCTTTGAACATCCTGTCAACACAAGCATTGTGACTGACTGACTGACACAAGCATTGTAGCAGTCCGGAAGAAATGAGCCCCCTCTCTTCCCCCCTCATGCTGTTCTGGGGGTCCTCCCGACATCCTCCAAGCCAATTTCAGTGGGGTGCACAGGGGGAGGGGGGGGCCCCTGAATGAGATCAATGAGACTTACTCCAGGTATATAAGAGTACAGACTAAGTCAATTCCAGACTATCAAATCTTTTTCTTGTGTTTTGAATAAGGCAGTATTACCTATGGTTATGTGTTCAATTGGGAAGACTCCTCGTCTGGCTTATCATAGAAGAACCAGCTTTGTCACCCAATATAGGGGTGCAGATTTATTTTTAAGACCAGCATAGATTATTATTTTTTAAAAAAAGAAACATCCCCAACTCCCATAGGACATTTCCCCATGACATATGAATATGAAAGCAGCATGCTAGGGAAAAGGTGCCAGAAGAATGTTTTGATACAACTTGTCTATCCATTATAATTAATTGGCTGGCAGGCAGCAGCAAGTACAGGCTGGGGATGTGTTAGGATATAAAAGAAGCAGCATTATTACAGCCCACGATATGAATTCCGCAGGACTGTGGCATCTTTGTTGGCAAGGCACAACAAATTCTCACATTGTGTCAGTCGGGGCAGGTGGGGGGGAGCCAATGTGTAAGATGAAATTGTGAATAACATTCTAACAAAATATAACGTTTCCTTGTTAATAATGTATTGGCTAATTCTAGTTTAACCTTTTAAGATAACGAACCTACTTTGGATTCTTATTTGAGCTGACAAATAAAATCAATTGAAGTGAAATGATAGTCTATTTTGTTCTTCAAAATAAATGAAACAGTGTGAAAATAACAGGAAATTGCACTGAGACCTGAGATTACCTATGCAAGGGAAACATAGCCTTCAGAGAACCACATACCACAATTTGTGTGGCCACCCCACACACTCTCAGCTGTGGGAGGGGGCAGTATTACCCAGCATAATATTTTGTGTGTCCCCCCACTTTTTTTGCTGTTGCTGCCCAAATTAGTAGAGGGCCAGGAAAATTGTTTGAGGACATCATACTCA